AAAGCTCAGGCTCCTTCCCTGTCCCTCTATGGTCTCACCCCTCTTGCACTATCAGGGGCTGACCAACAGGGAGGGCCCACCTTGTCATTTTGTCTCCCTTTTTGCTTTCTGCTATGGTTGCTGCTAATATTGGAGTCGGCGTTGTCTGGACCACGTTCCCATGGTTGACGAGTGAGGAAAACAGAAAGGTCTTGGTATTCAGTGCCTGGCTCAGGGTACAGCCAGAGAGAGGCACTTTGTTGTTGGAGATGTTCTTCAGCACTCTGTCCTCGGAGTTAGTCACACACCAGGACCCGTCTTAGCCCTTCACAGCTCTACTGCACAGCCCTGCCCTCCTGGAGAGAGTGGTCGCTTCAGGGGCTTTCTTGATTCCTTTGGAGCTTGGTGTAGTATTTGACATGGGAAGTTAGGAAAACAGGAGAACAAACTTCTTTGAGGTAGCTGTACTCAGGCCCCAGAGCGACAGGGGGCTTCATCTGAACCTCAGGTCCCATGGATCCTGGTCTATTAGTTAACACTTAACGTGTCAACTTTCTTATCTACAAATGGGGTGAGTGATGGAACAGACAGAAGAGAAATGAGTGAGAAAGTCTGTGTTCCACGTGTGGATGGTGCCAAACACAGGGATAGCAACAGCACTTAGTGAGTACGTGTGTTTAGTTACTGTCTATAAAGGAGGATTGGTCATGTCACACCTCAGAAGATGCAAATGACGTCTAACGGTGGAAAAGCCGTTCTCTTCCTTTCATGAACAAAGGTGCAATTATGTCTTTTGCGTTTCAGGTTACTTTTACTACCAGACAAAAATTTCTTGGTTTTTTATTTTTTCAAAGTGCCTGAATAGAATTTAGTGTTATGGCTGTTTCTTCGTTTCTATGACTGGCCACTGGCCACCAGGTGGACGTGGTTGTTTGTCCTGCACTCACACAGCATTGCAGCAGGGGTTTGTAGTTCTCATTCCACTCATGCTGATTTATCCTCAGCTTACAGTTCTGGAGGTAGCAGAACTTTCATAGAAAAAGTCCATCAACTTTTTTTGTTAATGTTATTAATTTTTTATTTTTTTGTGTGAACATTCTTAAAAGGGTTCAGTTTGAAATAATTTCAGTCTTAACAAAGGTTTGGAGCACCACGGATTCTCATACACCGTTCACCCAGGTTCTCCAGGGCTGCCTCCTCTCACTGTAAGTACTTTGATGCACATTTCTAAGAGTAAAAGATGTCTTCCTGTGTAACTGTATGTAGCGTTGCTGAACATCAGGAAATTACGTTTGACTGATGATGATGCCCAATTTGCACAGCGTATTCAGAGTTCACGCTGGTCAGTAAGGTGCACGGCACAAGAGAAGAACACGTACATTCTGTTGTCGCTTCTGCTTCTAAGACAGGGTCTTGTTGCAGGGGAAGAGCCACTCATTTGTCCAGGCCACATGGCTAGCTTAGCCCTGAAATAACCACATAGAAACTGTATTAATTAAATCACTGCTTGGACCATTAGCTCTAGCTTCTTATTGGCTAACTCTTACATCTTAATTTAACCCATTTCTATTAATCTGTATATTACCATGAGATCGTGGCAAAGTTCTGGCATGTCTATCTCTGGTGGTGGCTCCATGGCATCTCTCTGACTCCGCCTTCAACCTCCCAACATTCAGTTCCATGTTCCCTGCCTACCTAAGTTCCACCCTATCAACAGCCAGTTTCTTTATTCATTAATGGTAATTACAGCACACAGAGGTGACGCCCACATCAGGGTCTCCTTTAACCTTGTAGCTTTGAACTCTGTAGCTGAACCTGACCCCAAACATCTGATCCTCCTCATCTCCACCTCCCTAGTGTCGAGATTACAGGCATGTACCACCACAGTTGGCTATTTTGTGCATAACTGTGAAATTTTGATGTATTTTTACTAGGTTGAATGGACTTATTTGGAATGCCCATTTCTTAACTGTATTGTGAAAAGATTGTTACTTTATTTTGGGACTGACAGGCCAAAATGGTACCTTACTGTATTTTGAATTTCTATTTTCTCTTAATGAACAAGGGTGAGAACACCACTCTGTGTGTTAAGAAGCACCTGCATTTTTATGTTGGATTAATTTTTGCTTTATTCTTGTATTTTTATTCTTAATTCTTGTACTTTAAAAACTATAGTATTTTCGTATCTTTTTGTGGCACACATTCTTCAGCCCTTTTTATCTGCATGGGAGAAATGTTTTGTGTATATGAAGCTATGTTTTTCAAACATCTTCTGCATTTTGGGCTTTGTGACATTTATACTTCAACAATGTGACAGAAACATGGCTTTCTCTTTAAAAAATTTTAGATTTTTATTTATTTGTGTGTATTAGTGGTGCCTGCATGCTTGTGGGGGGTCAGAGAATTAGAGGAGTTGGCTCTTTTCCACTGTGCGAGTCTTGGGGGTTGAATTTGAGGTTGTTTGGCTTAGCCACAGGTACTTGTTCCTAGCGAGCCTTCTCCCTGGCTCAGAGCTGCCTCCTTTGCCTAGTGCTCTCATACCCAGCAAACCACTCTTCTGTCCCAACACATGTAAGTTGTTCTTTTTACTTGTGGAGTTACAGTGCCACCTTTATGCAGACTGTTCTAGTCTCCTGCTTGGCCATTTCATTTTATATTGATAAGGTATATTCATCTTGGCTTTAGACTTGTTTGTAAAAGCTAACACTAGATGTTGAGTTTTCGAAAATTAACTTTCATCTTGAAGAATGTGATCACTCCCCCAAATGTGTTACTATATCGAGGAGGAAAGCGCTCTCAGGTAGGAAAGCTTACCTCACTAATGCAGAATTGGAAATCTGGATTCAGTTTTTCTTTTTTCCAAACATATACTACTATATTTGAGACAGCCTCTGTACTGTCAGTTTGCAGTCCCTGTTAGATCTATTCCTAGAAATAATAAATTATAGCTTGCCAGTTTTATATTATGTCCTCTTATATACTTAAGTGCATATTTTTCATTTCTGGAAACTCAGTCTGATGGCTCGGGTGACTTCCCAGCTCTAACAACGGCTCCTGTAGTTCCGTTACTACTTCTCTCCCTTCTTTACTCGCTCCCCCATTTTCTTCTCTATCAGAATTATTCTTGCCGAGAATATTATTAGAGAAAATATCTTTATTCCTTGGCATAAATGGAAAATTTTCTGTATTTTATGACCATAAAGAGGAGATGAGAGATTTTCTTTTTTCCTGTACAGACAGACTGAAACTAATTTAAGTTGAAATTTCATTTACCTGACTAAAGTGTATTCTTTATGTGAATTATCTTGTCACTGCTATGGATGCTTGTTTGATTTCACAGGTAAATCTGATTGAAAATATTAAAAGAGAGGGCTAGAGAGATGGCTCAGTGGGTTAAAATGTGTATTGTTCTTTCAGAGGACCCAAGTTCAGTTCCCAACACCCACATTTTGCCTGTATTGGAGCTGCATGAGACCTGACAAACTCTTAAGGCCTCTGGGCACTGAACTTTCATGTACATCTTCTTGCCTCTAAAACACACACACGCACACACACACACACACACACACACAATTAGAATAAAATATTTTCAAAAAGAAAATGCTAGAAGTAAAAATGATTGTGTTTTAGTTCAAGTTCTTGATCTTAATAAATAATTTATTTCCATACATTGTCATTTTTTCCTCCTAGCTTTGGTGTATAAATTTCCCAGATTTACACATGCTGTGTGTGTTTTTGCCTTAACCATTAGTTCCCTATTTTTGCATTAGAGCTTGCCATTTCCAATTTATTTGTATGAGTTTATGCTTGTGGTTTAAGATGGTAAATAAATATCAAGCATCTTTCTCTAAGGTTTCTCTCCTGTCTGTCAGTTCCTGAATAACTACTCTGAGGCTTAATAGTAGTTAGAAACTATTTGGCCTATTAGCTCAGACTTATTAATAGCTAGCTCTTACAACTTAAATTAAGCCATTTCTGTTATTTTACATTTTACCATAGGGCTCATGGCTTATTACCTCACATTTTGCTTCTCTGGTAGCTGCTGGCATCTCCCAGACTCTGCCTTCTGTCTCCCTGTCTCTCTGTTTGGATTTTCTGCCTAGCTATATTCTGCCCTGCCATAGGCCAAAATAGCTTCTTTATTAACCAGTGGTAATAAACATATTCACAGCCTACAGAGGGCCGCCCCAAATCATCTTCTCTTCTGTTCTTGTCCTTCAAGTTGATCGTGGAGTTATTTTTAAATGAATATTTATTAGTTGAGGGTTTCATACAATGTGCTCATCCCCTTCCTTAACTCTATTCCAAACTGCCCCTCCCATTTTCTACCCAGCAGACTTTGTGTCTTTTATTCTTTAAATATTATTTAAATAAAACTGTCTTCCCCTCTCCCAGCAGCTGACAGTTGCTAATAGCTCCGTGGCCAGTGGGTAGGATTTCCTGCCTAGCTTCCATTCCCACACCAGGGTTTAGTCTGCTCTGAGCTCGTCCGTGTTTCATGCAGGCTGTTGTAGCTGCTGACGTCTATGCACAGCTCTGCTGTGTCAGAGCACACGGTTCCTTACCATAGCCCACCACCTCTTACACTCCTTCCTACCCTCCTTCTCCTTTCTCGGTGATCCTTGAGTCTGCAGGGGTGCAGTTCCATTTAGGGATGAGCATTCTTTGGGCTCTTGCTCTGCAATATCATGGAGTCATTGGAGCACACCTGCTTTCCTCTTATCCAGATGGAACGCCGTGCTGTGAGCCCTGATTTATATGTTCCTGTGTGTCCAGTTAGCCACCTTAAGTGGGGCGTTGCGAATTGCTTCCTCATGGAATTTTAGGGCTTCTTTCAAGATTATTATCCTTGATAATGTCCATAATGCAGGACTTTCATTTTTCTGTGATGGATCATGGGTCTTTGACAGAATGCTTATGGCTTCCCATTGACGCAGTGAGCTGCCTCAGCAGGCCTCTCCTGGAAGGATGGGACACTGTAGGACCTCGTCTGGACTATTCCCTTTGCCTTGTCACTGCAGGCTCCATTCGTGAGGAGAACGGGGTACGGTGGCATGTGTGTCCCTACTGCACAAAGGAGTTCCGGAAGCCCAGTGACCTTGTACGCCACATCCGCATCCACACCCACGAGAAGCCCTTCAAGTGTCCACAGTGTTTCCGGGCCTTTGCCGTGAAGAGCACACTGACTGCTCACATCAAAACTCACACTGGCATCAAGGCCTTCAAGTGCCAGTACTGCATGAAGAGCTTTTCCACCTCAGGGAGCCTCAAGGTGCACATCCGCCTCCACACAGGTGTGCACATGCTGGTTGGGGCACAGGAAGTGCAGTGGTGGAACTCTCCAAGGTCTTTCTTCCCTCCTGTCTTCCCATTGATCCTCATGGAAACAAGGATATGGTGGGAGAGTGATTAGAAAAGTAGTGTTTATTTTTTTTAAACATTTATTTATTTATTTATTATGTATACAGTGTTCTGTCTGTCTGTCTGTATGCTTGCTGGCCAGAAGAGGGCGCCAGATCTCATTACAGATGGCTGTGAGCCACCATGTGGTTGCTGGGAATTGAACTCAGGACCTCTGGAAGAGCAGTCAGTGCTCTCAACCTCTGAGCCATCTCTCTAGCCTAAAAGTAGTGTTTATAAATGAACACATTTGCAATGGGTGACCAGACTTTAGCTTTAGACACATCAAACCTTTCTAAGGAACAGACATGTATTCCACAATCTCAGGAGACCTGCAGGCCTTGTCTGGGGCTCCATATATTTGAAAGCAGCCATGTTATTGAGATAAAAATTCAGGAAGTATACAGTTCTAATTGAAGCATTTTTATTGTCTCCTACTCCAAGTTTCATATTCCCTGGCACTCATTCCCAGGGCTCCTGTGCTGGGAGGATGGAGGAGCCTGGGGAAACGAAGATTGGCTTTCTTTGTTATATTCTCGTCCAGGGAATCTTCGTTTCCATTTACTAGTACAATTATAAGAGGAAATTGCTTTTGTAGAGGGAATGTCTTGCCTTATCATTACTACCTAAAGACAATTACCTTTCTCTGCTTGTAAGATACAAGAGAGCAGTTGTTGTCTTAACACGGTGTGTATCCTCTCAGCTGCCTCCCATGAGGAGTGTTGGAGAGATGGGGCTCTCTGGTACAGTTTGGACTTCTTCAGGATGACTTGTTATTTGAATGTACATGTTTTACAGCTTAAGGATCTGTCCTTAAGATAGCATGTGTCTTTTCTTACTTGAAAAGCTATTGTATGGCCTAATATCTATAATAGTACTAATTAAAAGCAAGAAGTAAATAACTGATTCCTAAAACACATGAAACCCTGAATGTGGAACAGCACGTAGTCAAGTCTGAAGTATTTTGTGTGAACATTTTTTGTTGTTACTGACATGTAATTCCTTGAAATAATCCTAAAATGCTCTTTTGTTTTATTAGGAGTTAGACCTTTTGCTTGTCCTCACTGTGATAAAAAATTCCGAACCTCAGGCCATAGGAAGACTCATATAGCTTCTCACTTTAAACACACGGAACTGCGGAAGATGAGGCACCAGCGCAAGCCTGCGAAGGTTCGGGTGGGCAAGACCAATGTTCCTGTCCCCGATATTCCTTTGCAAGAACCAATTCTCATAACGGACTTGGGTAAGATGGATCATGGCGTACTGTGGCTGATCAGATGCTCTTCCTTTGGGGCCTTGTGCGGGGTGTGTCTAAACTACGGTAATGTGCAGGAAGACACGCATAGTATTGATGATGTCTTCACTAGAAATTGCTTTGTTGGGCTAGTATGTTCCACAGTCAAGATTAAAATCTTAAAATACTGCTCAGAATGCGTTTTTGTTTTAGATGAGTAGTATGGAAGGAAAAGTCGTTTCCTGTGGATTCTAGTTAAATAGGTACTTCTGCCTTTAGGGACCCAGGAAGGCAGAGAGGGATTTTCAACACAGAAGACCCAGTGCAAATTGTTACTTGTATCTTTGGATTTCCATGCAGTATGTAGATTCCTGTTCTGGCTGTTCAGTCTTTATGCTGGAAAGAAAAGGAAGTTTGTTTATTATAACTGATAGTATAATTAAGACACGATATGGCTTTATTAGCCAGCCACACACTCCCTTGTCTGGGAAGGACCTTCTTTCTCACAGAAGGCACCAGGCAGCTCTCCAGGGCCTCTTTCTCTCCTTTCCCTTTTTATCAGTGTCTTCCATGTATGCAGCAACCATAGCTCATTACCATCTTTCATTTACCTCCAGTTCCTACTGAGCCCCTTTCCCTCCCAACCAGCCCTCTTCTACTTCTGTGTCTTTATTCTCTGCGGACATCATGCAGGAAGTCACCTGTTGTTCATCTCTGTGTCACAATTGCAGCGCACATGCCATACCCAGAAGTCGTTTTCACAGCAGCTCTCCCCATCTTCCAGGTCCCACGAGAGTCTCTGGATCCTGCATGGGGTGGTATAGATGTTACACTTTTGGCTGAGGTCCAGAAAGTCAGTTATTCGCATCATTTTGACCAATTTTGAGTCTCTGTATGAACTGTTGCAGATCCTAATTCCATTCATGAGGGCTCCACCGCAGTGACTCGTTGTTCATCTCAGGAACTCCCCCTGCTCATTGCTGCCACACTGTAGTTAGATATCAGTGTAAGATTTCCATGGGGGTGCAAGCGTTTGGACTATAGCACTCATTAAGTTTTACAGGTAGATTTATATTTTATGCAGTCTCCATATTAAATAATTTTCCTATTCAAAGTAATCTAACCTGAGCAAGCATAATACCAAATATACCGTGACTTAGTATGACAAGAGTTAAGGGGTGTGTGGAATTAAATCTTAGGTTGATGTAAGTTATAGCCTAACAAGGGGATGATCAATATAGCCCTTATCTCTCTTTAAACACTTATAATTCTTAAAATTATATGTGCTTATGTGTATCTTATGGGATGTATACATGTGAGTGCAGGGACCCCCAGAGGGCCTAGAGCTGGAGTTACAGGTGGTTGTAAGCCACCTGGTATAGGAGCTAGGAACTCAGCTTGAGTTTTTTACAACTCTGTTATGTCCTTGTAACTGCTGAGCCACCTCTCTAAGCCTGATTATGACATAAGAATATGTAACAGGACAGTTGAGAAGAGAAACATTCAAATTCCGAAATATCAGGAGAAAGATCAGTTTAAACACAGTGCATTTCTTCCTTTGTTCCCCTTTGGAGACAGGGTGCCCTCTGTTTCAGGCTGTGGATAACCTTAAACTTGCCACCCAAGAGCTGGGGGCTGTGAGCTTTCATGGTCACTCACAGATCACATGGCATAAGGGGCTGAACCCAGAGCCCTGCATCTTCTCAGTAAGCACTCTACCTTGAACTGCATCCTCAGCCTCATAAGAAGTTTCTTATAGTGATGTCATCTTTTATATTTAAATATGTACTCTTAAAAACACGCATAAAATATGTCACATTCTAAGGTATAGAAAAATGAATAAATTATGAGAAATTAGTATGTGCTATAATCTTTGATTACAGTTAAATGAAAACATAATTTAAAAGCTGTCTAAAATTTATTTATTAAAAGAAAGACTTAAAACAAGTCACCTATCATAAATGGGAATAAACATAAACATAGTGTATGAACTAAAACTGTCCTCAAGAAAGTAAGGCTTTTGAGTCCTTGTTAAAAATAAGAATGAAATACATAGTATTTTTCTTTGAAGATCAGATGACAGAATGGAAAAAGTAGCAGGAAGTTATTAGTGTGTAAAATAATTTAATAGAAAGTAGTGATTTTATAAAACTTTAAAAAATTAATAGTGAAGTAGATAGTATGACTTGTCCTCAACGAACTAAAGGGAAAATGAGAAAACCTATAGGAAATGAAAAAAAAAGCAATGAATATAAATACAAATGAGATTAAAAAGTGTTTGCAGATATTCTACAACTAGTTGAAAAAGCATTTGAAGCATTTGAAAAGTTAAGTGAAATGGCTGTTTTCCTGGTGAGTATCCTCATCAGTATTGTTAAGAAATGGAGACTGCAGATACCACAAATGACAGACAATAGAAGCACATCTCAAACACACTCCACTCTAGTGTGAGTCTGGTAAGCTTTGTGGGAAGTGTAATTGTCCCATTAGATTGTTTCTGAGATAGAAATCAGTTTACATGTTCTGTACTAGCATGGAGGAGTTGGGTTTATTCCATAGTTTACAAAACAATAGACTCTAATATTTTCTTTTCAGGTTACAAATCAGATTAAACAACTTTGGATTTCTTTGTTTTTTGAGACAGAGCTCGCTCTATCTATCTATCTATCTATCTATCTATCTATCTATCTATCTATCTATCTATCTATCTATCTATCTATCTATCTATCTATCGCCCTGGCTATTCTTGAACTTGCTCTGTAGACAAGGCTGTACTTTGGGTTTTCTGACTTCAAGTTTGTGAATCTCTTATTCTACAGAACTTTTCTGAGGTTAAAGTGGAACATTTTGTTCTTTATCTTCACAGATGTAATAGATGGGATTTTCCTTTAGTCTAGACTAAGGTGTTCTATGGAGGCCCCTTGTTTGTTCCTGGCTGCTCAGCCCTAAAATAACTACACAGAAACTGTATTAATTAAGTCACTGCTTGGCCCATTAGCGCTAGCTTCTTATTGGCTAACTCTTACATATTAATTTAACTCATTTCTATTAATCTGTGTATTGCCACGTGGCTGTGGCTTACTGGGTAAAGTTTCGTTTTCTGTCTCCAGCGGGGCTACATGGCTTCTCTCTGATTCTGCCTTCTTTCTCACAGCATTCAGTTTAGTTTTTCCCACCTAGCTCTGTTCTGCCCTGCTCTGCTATGGGCTCAACAGTTTCTTTATTAACCAATGGCATTCACAACATACCACATACTGAGATACTTGAGGGAAACAGTTCTTAGTTATAGTGTTAGCTGCACACTGTAGACTATTGTGACCCTTTTTTTATTCTTCCTCAGTGGATGTGAGTATGTTAGGCAGAGTTGGCTCTTTGGAGGCTCTAGAGAAATTGTGCCTGTGGCGATCATTTCTGATACAAACAGGACAGGGGGGATTTTGGAAGGACATTGTTACTGTTATGTGACCTGTTTAGGAGGTAGATGGGCTATTTAGGTCAGTCTGGTTACATTCAGTATAATGTTTTATACCCAAATTGTTACCTTAGCATTATTAGAATACATTAATATACTGTAACCAAAATTTCACCTCTTACTGAGGGAAGTTGTTCGCTGGTAAAGAACCATATGGTCAAATATTTTTCAGAACTTTTAGAGCTGTGTGAAAACTTAAATTCATTCCCCAGACCTCTCAATACTGCCTTCCCCTATTTTGATAGACTTAAAACCTGGGGTCTAGGGCAGTTGTTAACTTTGCTTTGGGCCATGTGGCTGACTTGACTTAGAACCTGGATATTATGATTTCAAGGCTGGGCTCATGGTGTCACTTGAAGCTCATGTCCTTTCTGTATCCACTTTGACTGGACCCTGGTTCAAGAGCAGTTGTACGTTGGTACAAAGCTCTCTCGGGCTTCACTCAGTTGAGCTAAGTTATGGTTTATAGCACCAGGGATAGTGTTGTACTTGAGCTTCTCCTTTATACTCTAAATGCTTTGCTTTGAAGTTAGGATTTCCTCCCCAAAGTGATTTGAAACAAATGTTTTCAATCAAGTATTTTACACAGATGTAGTAAAAAAAAAAAAAAAATGGGGGGGGGAGGACTAAAGTTTGAAGAATATCCCTTTAATATAAAACTCCCTGCCACCTAGCCCAACGTCCTCAGGATGGCTTTCTTTCTTTCCTTCCTTCCTTCCTTCCTTCCTTCCTTCCTTCCTTCCTTCCTTCCTTCCTTCCTTCCTTCCTTCCTTCCTTCCTTTCTTTCTTTCTTTCTTTCTTTCTTTCTTTCTGTTTTTATTGATTTTTATTGAGTGCTACATTTTTCCCTGCTCCCCTCCCTGCCTCTCCCCTCCCTCCTTCAACCCTTCCCCAAGGGAAGGAACAATGTTATGTCTTAAATTGCTTTGTAGACGTTAGTGGCATTGCTGTAGGGTGAAGATGGATTGGAGGGTAGAGTGTTGGCAAGTGTGTGCTTAATCTTGACATCCGGAGGAACAGTTCAGTCTTCCTCCTAATGTTTCAGATAACTATTCAGTTACTGAAGCTTGAGAGCTAAGTTTCTGCTGAATTGTGTGTGTAGCCCAAAGGCACTATCCCTTTGTGTTTGTTGATGATCAACCCAAGGAAATCCTTTATTTAATAAAAGCGTGTAAATTTTGAAATTCATAGGTCAATAATCTACAAATGTTAATTTATTTTCCTTTATGTGTATATTTTGCCTACATACATGTAGATGTACTACATGTGTGCCTGTTCAGTCTTCTGGAACTGGGTTTGGAGATGGTTGTGAAGTACTGTGTGGTTTCTGGGAACTGAACCCAGGTCCTCTGCAAGAGCAACAATGTCTTATCAACCATAGATACATCTCTTCAGCCCATAGCTAATTATCTTGCAATTCACAAATATCCCTTTAATATAAAACTTTGGAGAAAATACTGACATCTACAGAACAATATTTCATGTTGGAAGTATTTATGTTTTGAGTTTATTATTGTACTATGCCACTATTCATACTGAATACAGAGAGATTTAAAAACCTGACAAAAGTTTTGGATGGACGTATGTAAATTTCATGTCAGTATATGTCTATATTAAAAGTAAATGTAGAAAGCCATTAAATAATGGCTCTGGAATCCAGTACATATTTATAATAATATACACATTCTTCAGTGCCAGAAAATAGCAATTGATAACTATTTCACCATAGGCATTGAAATGACGTGGTTAAGTGGATGACGTAATGAATATGCCTTTGCTGTGACCATGGAGTCTGTAGCACATCAGGGGTCTTGTCTCTGTCTTAAAGCAGATGCCTTTGGCCTGTTAGTAGTAACACTGACAGTGAATTATTCCCACTTTTCTTTGGATTTATAGGTCTTATCCAGCCCATTCCAAAAAACCAATTTTTCCAAAATTATTTTAATAATAATTTTGGCAATGAAGCAGATAGACCCTACAAATGTTTTTACTGCCATCGAGCATACAAAAAGTCTTGTCATCTTAAACAGCACATCAGGTAAGTCGGAGGGGAGGTGGAGATTGAGTACAAGCCCAGAGAGTCTGTGATCTGCTGACGAAGTATTTAGAATGAATGGTATTGCTAGCTTATGGTTAAAATGTTTTATTTGACAAAAAAAATACTAATTTGTGATTTTTTTAATTCTTGAATATTTTCATTCAAATATTTTAGTCAGATATTGTCCCTGAGTTTTTTTTATTCCAGTTATATTTAATGTTTGCAATTTCTAGCATGTTTTATCTTAATTAGAATGTGTAGATGCTCTCACCAGAGCTAACGTCAGTGAACAGTTTTCTGAAAACAGAGCTAGCGGAAGGTTCATGCTCACTCCAGTGCGTGCAGCTCGGTGTCTCTGGCAGGTCACTTAGCTGAGTCTCAGTCTTGCTCACTTAGAAAACATAGAAAGCGAGATCTTTTCTGCATACCTTTAGAAGAGTGAAGTATCTCTGAGTATATACGTGTTAAAATGGGTAATAAATGTATTAAGGTTTTTTCCTGTGTTTTTAGATCACATACTGGTGAAAAACCTTTCAAATGTTCGCAGTGTGGCAGAGGCTTCGTCTCTGCAGGAGTGCTCAAAGCACATGTTCGGACACACACTGGACTGAAGTCTTTCAAGTGTCTGATCTGCAATGGAGCCTTTACCACGGGTGGCAGCTTACGACGACACATGGGCATACACAACGACCTCCGCCCATACATGTGTCCCTATTGCCAGAAAACATTTAAGACTTCACTAAACTGCAAAAAACACATGAAAACCCATAGGTAGGTATAATGCTGATATACCTGCTGTTCAAGTATCTTCATAATTCCCAGATGGGGTGGGAAGCAGTTAAGAAGTAATTGTCTTTGATGCCTGTATTGTTATTTCTAACTGAGAGTGATATTGGGTCGAGAAGTTTGGCTGTCTTTGCTTAGGGATTTATGAGACCCATAGACGGTAGCATGAATTTATGTACATATTTTTTTTCTTTTTGAGCCATCCCAGAACCTCCAATAATTGACTAGAATCTTGCTATGCTGATACAAAGTTATGTATGTATTTTTAAAAAAAATATTTTTTTTGAGCCAGGTGTGATGGCTCATGCCTGTAATCTAAGAACATGAGAGGCTGAGGGAGAAAGTATTGTTGTCAATTCATGACCAGACCGGGCTAGAGAGTGAGACCCTGTCTCCAACAAATAAAGAAACCAAGCCAACTATAATGCATGTGTGCATGGACACACGCACACACGCACACACACACACACAGACACACAGGGACCAGGCAGTGGTGGCACATACTTTTAATCCCAGAACTCGGGAGGCAGAGGTAGGAGAGTCTCTGTGAGTTCAAGATCAGCCTGGTCTTGAGCGAATTCCGGGATTGGCTTCATAGCTACTGGGAAATTCTGTCTCAAAAAAAAAAAAAAAAAAGAAAGAAAGAAAAAAAAAAAGAAAAGGAAAAGGAAAAGAAAAAGAGAGAGAAAACAGGATCTCCCTGTGTAGCTCAGGATGGCCTCGCAGTCCTGATTGCTGGGATTACACATATGGATACCACCATACCCAGTTAACATTTTTACTTTTAATACTAAGGCAGTCTAATAGGCTAAATGCCTTACTATATACTGTCTTTTAGAGCTGGTAGTCAGAGGCTAGCCCTAACAATAGATGGTGAAGATTTTTAATAAGAAGCCAACTTCACCCAAAAGCCTTCGTATTAGGAATTCAACAAGGGGTTAATCCATTGAACAAATCAGATCCTCCTAATCTAGTCATTTCCCCAGAGTCTCACTTCTGGGCACTGCTGTATGGGAGACGAAGTTCTCAGAACATGACTTGAGATATCCATACATGATACCATACCACAAAACCTGTCTGCCCTGGACCAAGAGTCAGCAGCTTGCAGGATTGCTTTTAAAGGCGTGGGGTTTGTTTTGAGACCTTGGTTCACTCTGTAATACAGGATGACTTTGAACGCACAGCAGTTTTCCTGTATTAGCCTCCTAAATGCTGAAATTACAGGTGTCCACTATTGTTTTGGCTTTTTAAACCTCAAGATTTTGTTGCATGTGCTGTCCTACCTGTCTCTTCTTGCCTTCAAGTCCTGTGATTGCTGACAGCAACTGATAGTAATAGGGTTTCCTTTTAGAAGTATAAAGTAGTTAGCTATTGTCACACCATTACTTCAAAATGAAATAATTGAAGAATAAAAAAGCTATTTTAGCAAATGGCATCTTTCACAGACGCTATCTATGCTGTTGCTAGTGTCTGCTTTATGAGTTGTTGCTGCTTTCCCAAAGATACGAACTAGCCCAGCAGCTCCAGCAGCATCAGGAGGAGTCCTCCATAGACGACAGCACAGTGGACCAGCAGAGCATGCAAGTGTCAGCTCCCATGCCTGTGGAGATTGAAAGTGCGGAACTGCAGCAGACCCCAGAGACTGTGCCAGCAGACCCTGAAGCTATACTGGAACTGGGGCCCCAGCATGTGGTAGGCGCAGAAGATGCGGAACTTGGACAGCAATTGGCAGATGAGCCTTTGGAAGCTGACGAAGGTAACGCTTGAGGAGCTTCAGCTTCTCTGATGATCCCAGTGGTCTTGTGGTCCTTGGACTCAGTGTGATCTCTGTTGTCTTCTCTTTGGTGCTGGGGCTAATAAACAGAACTGTGTGCAGGCTAAGCATCTATCTCTGAGCTACATTAGCTGTCCTGCTTGCCTTCTTAAAGTCACAATTTGTGCTAAGTATGTATATGCTAAGTATGAAGCTGTGATATTTGATATTATCTTAACTGATAATGATTAGCTTATTTTAGGGATTTGGTGATTTTTGTTCTTGTTTTTTTCTGATGTGGCTCAGGGTTGTTGTCTGTTGTAAATACAAAGCAATCTGACTTCTTGGTGGCAAATTTTTAAATTACTTGAAATTTTAGGCTTACAGAAAAACTTACTGTCCACATTTTGTTCTTCTGATTTGTACTAGACAAATATGTCAGCATGACCTTCTATGTGCCTGTCTCTGTGCCCATATAAAACATATTCATGGCTTATAGAAAGAGGACCTTTTATGCGGGTTTTTATAAACTTCTTTTGATATATTGTCAACATTTTTTTCTTTTAGCTTTTAGATTCATGAGTAATCTGTGACAAGGACTCCATGTAGACTCCCGGGCACAGTGAGGCGGGTTCCTGGTAGAGAATGTAGAGCAGCACGCTGCTGTGTTTCATCGGCAGTGCTGGTCAGCAGAAAGTGGTAGCTGAGCCACATTCATGTGCTCATTGCCACCGACGTCTGCATCCCAACAAGCTTTCATCTTACCAGCCGTGCTGGTAGACAGTTGCTGGCTGATTTATGATTTTGTTCTGTGGCTGTCCTAAAATTTATTTAGTCTGTTAACAGGAATGTACATGTTTTATCCCCTATGATGCCTGAGTTTTACATAATTACCAAGTATAGCTGGACTTTAGAATATTTCATTATATATATAACTTTTTAGAACAATATTACCTTCCTCTTGTGTTTCTAAAATGAGAGGACTAATTTTTGAAAACTCACTAGAATACTTTTAGATGGGTCAGCAGATGGTTAATGACTTTAGACAGTGTGCACTTCTTTCTCTTTGCCCTTAGATGGCTTTACAGCTCCCCAAGATGCTCTCCCAGGACACATGGACCAGTTTGAAGAGCAAACTACTCCACAGCAGTCTTTTGAGTCTGCAGGACTCTCACAAGGTCAGTGTGAATTTCAGTGAGCCTGCAAACCAGCTGGCCTCTGCTGGGTTTAGTTTGTAAATTTGTAAAACTTTATGATTTAAACCGATAATTGTAATCATTTATGTTTTTAAACAATGCTTTATAATCTCATCTCCTTAAAAAAATGACTTGCATCCATTTTATGAAGGGTCTCCATCTCAGAGAAGGCGATGGGTTGGGGTGGAGATCTGGTGAGAACTGGTGTTCATAGCTGCAGTATAAAGCCTGCCTAGTACCAGACAACTTAGAGCTGCTAGAACATCACCCTGATCTTGACTCTCATTCAGGAAGCAGAAATGCCTAAATGTCTTTTCCTCATGAATTGATTTTCACCTATGGTATGATTGACATGTGCTGTAGAGCTCCTGTACCTCATGTCTTTCAGGTTTCACAGTCACCGACACATACAGTCAGCAGACTCCATTTCCAGCTGTGCAGCAACTGCAGGATTCTAGCACACTTGAGTCCCAGGCCTTATCAACGAGTTTCCACCAGCAAAACTTACTGCAGGTCCCAAGCTCCGATGCCATCGATGTGGTGAGTATGTGCAGAAGGGCCGAGCAGCTCCTTATCCAGCAGATTTCTCTCTGTCTTGTGCTGTAGTCATTTCGGATGCATGTGCTTACTGTGGCTTAGTACATCCCGGGTTAGTACAGGGGATGCATCACATGCAGCACACAGAACCATCTTTTTTCTGAAAGCATTTTAACTGTACTTCATCTGATTGACACTGTGGGTAGCTTTGCCATTTTGATTAAGCCAGGAATTTACTAGTATGTTGTATAAGAAGTTGAAGAATATTACTTTAAGCACAAAATGTATTTTTTCTTGTAGAATCATAAATGTTAGAAGGAAAATAAAATTCATTCTGATATGTTAAAAATGAATACAATATAAAACATTATTTCTTTAAGTAATCGGTTTCCTTATAACATTTTCAATCATAATTAAATTTTTCCTCTTAGAGACCCTGAGATGTTTGTTTGATTTTTTTTTCTTTTGCAAGTTTTTAAGTAGTGTTAAAAATGTCAGACAAATTCAATAGTTACCTCCTTAAAACTCTACGAGTGTTAGTAGTAAGCATGAAAAATCGGAGCATTTTGGGTTTTTTAGCAAGGATGTGGAGTGCACGCATGGCTGAACTTTACTGCACATCCCCCTGAATAGACTTTTGCCTCCTTAGTACAGGTGACGTAGTAAGATGGTACTTTGTCTAATTTGGTCATGGACGTTGGGTGAACAAGTAAGAAAAAAATCTGGCTTCCACTGTCTTTCAAGAGTGTTTATAGTCTATCCTTTAGTTATCCAGGTACACTGAAGTCTCGTTTGCTCTCTGTCCAGTGTGCGTAGGTTGTATTTTGAAGTCAGAAAGCATTGACTAGGCTGGTGTCGTGCTACTGAGCTGCTGTGAGCTCTAGTCCTTATGTCAGAGTAGGGGTCAGGGTCACTGCTCTTTGGTCCTGTCTCTGAGAGGTAGAGGTGACTTCTTGTCCCTTGGGCTCTTGAGCCCAGAAAGTCTCACCCTTCTCAGAAAGTAGCGAATTTCTTCACACCACTGTGTTACTTCCTACTGCTCCAACAGCATACTTCAGGGAACTAACTTAGAAACAGGAAAGGGTTTATTTTGCTTCACAATTTCAGAAATTTTAGTTCATGAATTATTGGCTCTGTTGCTTTGGGGCCTGTGGCATGGCAGAATGTCATCCTGGGGACATATGTGGTGGAGAGAAATGCTTACCTTGCGGCATTGGAAGAAAGTTGGGGGTTCCAATTTCCCCTGTAAGGGCATGCCCTCAATAGCAATATTCTCCAAGTGGGTCCACCCCACAAAGGTTCATGTATGTATAAACTTTGCCCTGAAGTGAGTTATTAATCAGGCATGAGGATCACAGCTATAATCCTAACACTTGGGAGGCTGAGCTAGAATGATCGTAAGTTGATCAAGTTTGACAGGCTAGCCTTGGCTAACTAGACTTGGACTCTGCCTCAATCAATCTATAAATAAATACTTTAATAGAAAGTAAATACAATGCTGGGCATGGTGGTACGCGCCTTTAAGCCCAACACTCGGGAGGCAGAGGCAGGTGAATTTCTGTGAGTTCAAGGCCAGCCTGGTCTATAAAACGAGTTCCAGAACAGTCAGGGCTGTTACACAGAGAAACCCTGTCTTAGGAAAAAAAAAAAAAAAGAAGAAGAAGAGAAAAAAGGAAAACAAGAAACATTCTTAATCATATCTATGGCAAAAAACGTACACTTTGTCTTTTCAGACTACTACCATGGACTACTTGTGGTCTTTTTTTCCTTGGAAACTATAGTGTGAGCATTTATATCTTTGTTTCTCTTGAGTCGTCCTATGCTTATTATAGATAGTCATTGTTCTTGCTTTATATTTCTGATCATTTTAGGCAACTCGTTTGCTTCCAGAGTCATCTCAAGAGGATCTGGACCTACAGCCACAGCGTCCACAGTTCCTGGAGGACAGCGAGGAGCAGAGCAGGCGCTCTTACAGGTGATCACTGCTCAGATCCAGCTCCCAGGCTGAGTGCTGACTGCACGCCTGCAGTGGGCAAGTGCTCTCAAGCTGTTTTCTCAGACTGAAGTAGGTTTCACCACCTTTATCATTTATAAAGGAGCCAGGAGGTTGTTCATGTTGTGCTTGAGTAACGATTAAATCAAATACGGTCACCTGGTGAGTTATAGCATTTATCAATTTCAAAATAATACATTTAAGATTACAAAAGAACTCGATCATTAATTGTCGTTGCCTCTGTTTTGTACTGCCTGCTCTGTGCCCTGGGTGTGGAACAGTGCTATGGTTTATCTAAGAAACTGACCACTTGGTGAGCGTGCTAAAGCTGCTTTGTTCCCCTCTGTTGCTAGGTATCTGGCTGCTGAGCAGTCATGCTCTGAGTGAACAGGGTCTGAGTTTTCTGTGTTTTGTTTATAGATGTGACTATTGCAACAAGGGCTTCAAGAAGTCCAGCCACTTGAAGCAGCATGTGCGCTCACACACGGGGGAGAAACCCTACAAGTGCAAGCTTTGTGGGCGTGGTTTTGTTTCCTCTGGCGTCCTCAAGTCTCATGAGAAGACACATACAGGTTACTGTCTGTTCCCTGTAGAAAAATCCTATAGACTAAATGGTCTTTAGTGTCTTATTATTTCACTTCGTACAGTGTTTTTTCAAGGTTCATCTGTGCTATAGCATGTATTAGTACTGTGATTCTTTTTACGGTCTGTAATACTGCATTAGACAGATAAGTCAAGCTTAATTTACCTATTTATTAGTTTTACTGTTTCACTTCTGTGAACAATTCTATGTAGACATGACTTTATTTCTCCATCAAGGGCCATAGGAATAACCCTTTTTAGGGTTGGGTATGGTTCTGGGATGGTGATTATTGGGGAATACTTGCTTAGCATGTGTTCAAAACACTGCAAAAGCAAGCCCACCTGTAAACTTTCAAGCTCAATCAAACTTTTCCAGGCAACCATTTTCCATTTTGCCAGAAAATGTATGAAGGTCCTGATTCTTCCTCATCCCATCAATGCATTGTTTTGTGTTTCTCTTTGATGTCACCATACTTGGGTGGGAAGCATTCACTTGTTGGGGGTATGATTTATGTATCTTGAGTGGCTCATGGTGTTGAGTTTGTTACCGTGTACTTGTTAAGAATTGTTTGTTCTAATCATTCTCTCATTTTAAAGTTAGGTTATTTGTTTTATTATCATCAATTTTGTAAAGAGTTAAAAATAGAGCCTGAACATTAGATCTTTCAGATACATACTTTATGATTAAATAAACAGAACACATTCTGTTTAATATATTACACATATTTAGCTTCAGTATGTATTCTGTATAATGCTTTATTTGAAAATGATGGTGCACCACTTACAAATGCACAGAGGATGAAAAGTCAGTGAATGTGTCTCTTGCTGACTAAGGGGTGATTTTAGTGGTACATAGGAAGAACTGTTCTGGAGGCAGAGATAGCCCGTCCGTTGAGGGAAGGCAGGATCAGTCTAGGTGCTTTTGAGACTCTGTTCTGTCAGACAGGGTCTGCAGCACTGAACTCCATTAGAAGTGAGGCCATGGAAAGGCTTCACAGGTCCTTCCTGGGTCTGACTAATAAACTGTGGCTGCAGCTCCAAGATGGATCCATAGAAGCATTTTAAGGGTCCTGTCTACAAACAAGCCCCAGCTGAGATGTCAAAGGTGGGGAGAGTGTAGTCTTGGCTTGTTGTGGGCATTAGTGAGGTCTGGTAAGACATGCTCTGCCATTGTTCATGTCTCTGATGGTATCCAGTCAAAACCCTGAACTGTGAGCAGGATAAACTCCTCGTGTTACTTGTTTGTCCTGAATGCCCATGATTCCGGGATAATGAAGTGGCACGTTCCCTGCCTGCTTTGTCTGTTGGTACAGGAGTCAAGGCCTTCAGCTGCAGCATCTGCAGTGCCTCCTTCACCACCAATGGCAGCCTCACGCGGCACATGGCCACACACATGAGCTTGAAGCCTTACAAGTGTCCGTTCTGCGAGGAGGGCTTTCGCACAGCGATTCACTGTAAAAAGCACATGAAGAGACACCAGGCAGTCTCATCTGCAACCTCAACAGCTGCAGACACAGAGGGAGGAGGTAGTTTCTGTTTTGGATTGAAAGTTTACTGGTCAAATGCCAATTTAGTTATAAGTTACAAATTGATTTGAATATTGCAGTTTTACAAATTAAGCTTAGTAGTACCTTGACTTTTTAATTTTAGAATGTGTTATTGAGTGGACATGGTATGTGTATGTGGGTGTATGTGCCATGCCACGTATGTGGAGGTCAGAGGACAGCTTTGTGGAGTTGATTCTCTCTCCTTCTACCTTCACATGGGTCCTGGAAATTGAGCTTAGGTTGCCAAGCTTGTGCAGCATGTACTTTTACCTGCATCGGAGAGGCCCTGAATTAATATAATTACAGTTTATGTCTCTCTATAGTTTATTTTCTGAATATGAAAGTCCATATGCCCTTTGAGAAAAAAATCCAGAGACTCACAATGAAGTTGTTCAGCTTTCCCGGTCACCATGCACTGACGTGGCTTCTGATTCAGCATGTGCCCTTGCAGCTACACTCAGCATGGACGTGTGTGGAGTTCATTCTAACTTGTGATGCTGCACTGTACTTTATAGTGCACAGAGCTTTGTGTATTTGACATAGTGAGCACAGATGTGTACAGATGCATCCCTGTAGTTGTATTTATTATGATGTGCTGTAGATGAATGCAGAGCTAAGTTTGATTTCCCCTGGCCAGAGCTATGCTCAGTGTCAGATTGCATTACTTCATTTAATTCACATTCGGCAGTGTGTGGTTGGAGAGACCAATCTTATTTCCTACCAAACATTACTCAGGTTAATTTGCCCAAATCCTAAACCTTAAGCTTATGACTCTGCTGCTTCTGTTTATTGGCTGGCGTCCTTTTAGTAAATTCCACAAGTGAAGTTGGTGTTAGAATGTGCATGTTTTAATTTCACAAGTGATACCAGCACACAGCAGTGTCATGTTTAGTGAGTGTAGTTATCATAGAGCCATGTAGTGTGTGTGTGTGTGTGTGTGTGATTTTTGTTGTGTTAATAGCTGGTACTGTTACTGAACAGTGGTGCTCAGTGTCATGCCCATGCCATTTACGGTCTTTAGGTCAGTACTCAGAGATGAGATATGCGGAGGAAGTGTTTGCTTTCTTCTTAGTTGGTCATCTACCCCTGGGGTTATGAGTCAGACCCTAGGATCTGAGAGTAGTGTAGATTCGTCTTACAGTTTGGAAAGTGAGTCTTTACAGTTTGCCTAAACCACCTTAATTGCAAACGCCTTGACTTCAGTGTTACAAAGCAGTTATTCAGTCAGCTTCATAGCAGACAGTTCTTAGGACGTGGGCTTCTGGCTGTCTGTGTTTGTTAAGTAGTTCCATATGTAGTGCTTTGGTGTGCCTTTGTCTCCAGTAGTTCCATTCTGTCATGAGAGCCAAGGAATCGCGAAAAGCTACTCAGTTTTCCTTCCTGCAAAGTATCAGACACTACGCAAATCCTGTAGGCTAGCATGAATAATGTTGCAGCCAGTCACATGTTCCTTCTTAGCAGTTAAGAAAGCAAAGACACTGGGGACAGGAGAGATGGCTCAGAGGGTAAGAGCACTGGCTGCTCTCCAGAGGTCCTGAGTTCAATTCCCAGCAACCACATGGTGGCTCACAACCATCTGTAATGAGATCTGGTGTCGTCTTCTGGCCTGCAGGCAGAACACTGTATACATAATAAATAAATAAATCAATCTTTTTTTTTTTTAAAGAAAGCATAGATGCCATTAAGTCAATATTACAATTGCTATGTGGGTTCCTTTTAGGACTTTGTCATACTGCACTAATATTTACAGACACTGATGAGTCTTCTTGTTTTCTTCTCTTACCTGTGGTTTACTCTGCCCCACCGGTGTTCGTGAATGGCTTTTAATTCCTTCACATTTGGAGTGGTTAGCCATTTGGCTTTACTTGAGCCATCTTCTATTTTTACTATGTATTTTGCTTAACTTTATTGTCTTTTCCTCATTTATGACTTTTTCTATGTGGATCTATATATATATATATCTTGGTTAATTGAAAAATTTTAACACAATCATCTCCATATTTCACTGTCAAGTGTTGGTGGGGGCCACTAGCTATTAAATTTTCCTAAAGCTTTCAGAGTTTACAAGTGTATTAGGAAATTTTTATTTGTGGTATTTTCTTCTTATAGAACTTTTCTGAGTAGAAATTGAATTTCTGGGCTCTGTCTTCCATGACCGATCCCCTTTCAGCCCGTCTCCTTCCTGTCTGTCCCATCTTTTCTTGCCCATTGTATTCTAGAGCATCAGTCAGTGGTTTCTCACACCTCCCCTAGTTGTGCTTGTGCTGGATTTAAGTGTTTCAGCCCTAAGCCCCTGGCCCGCAGTCCTATTCTCGCATTTTCATAGCAGTTTGGTCTTTTCTGCAGCTGGAACTTAACCTTGTAACAAGGGAATGTATGCGTGTATGCATTTTAAGTTTGTAGTCATTCTCATCAAACTGAGGGTTCTTTGCTAGTTTCTTCACCTTTGACTTTTGAGCATCTGGCTCTATTCACCTAGTAATCAATTGTGTCCCATGGTCCTATGTGAATATCTACAAATCCTGGTGGGTCTGTGGACTTGGGTGGTTTTTAAGCTTCTGGGTCTGTAAGCTGGCAGAAGCTGGCCTTCAACCACTGCAGATTCCTGGGCCCTCCTTCACTTGTCTTCCTTCTCCCTGGTCATACAAGTCCCCATTAGCCCCAATTGGAAAAGCAGCTGTTTGCTGTCTGAAATGTGGCTTAAAGACATCACTAGTACTAACCTTCCATGCTCCCCTTCATTTTCTCATGTTAATGGAGAGTCTGAACCCTTTCCCCATGCTTTTCACAGACACGTGTGTGGAGGACGAGGAAGACAACTGTGACAGAAGTGCATCCAGAAAGCCGCGCCCTGAGGTCATCACTTTCACAGACGAGGAGACAGCCCAGCTGGCCAAGATTCAGCCCCAGGAGAGTGCTACAGTGTCTGAGAAGGTCCTGGTGCAGTCAGCTGCAGAGAAGGACCGCATCAGTGAGATGAAGGATAAGCAAGCAGAGCTTGAGGCCGAACCCAAGCATGCCAACTGCTGCACATACTGTCCTAAGAGCTTCAAGAAGCCCAGTGATCTGGTGAGGTGAGGATGCTGTCACTTGTATACAGAGCTCTTGCAGACTTGAAAGTGGACTCTGATGCTTTTCACTCCGGTATGGGAAGTTTTATATGGAGTACGTTGTTCCAAACCTGCATCGACTTGGTAGTGAGCTCATGTAGAATGGTGGTTAATGACTTTGTTGCTTACGCATCTTCCTGTATGATTGTGATGGAAGCAGAAAATTAACCAGCTTAATTGCAGAGCATAGAGTGCCAGGCTGTGCAGGTATGGAAGACTGGCAGATAACTTCTTACAGAGTGAAAACCCAGAACAGACTAGAGACCACCAGATGTCATAGGTCAAGCCGCTAACTGATGACTGATGTGCATATATAGCAGAGTGGTTAAGAACTTGGTAAGATTTCTAGGGCTGTGTAGAGGAAAAAAGCAAGCCATATCTAGTTGTTGCCATCTAATCTGTAGTCATGACACAAAGCTTGGCTCTAGGAGATCATAGAGCCAGGAGGTGAGGCGCACAGAGCACCTTAATAAACAGCAGAGCTATAAAGACTGTAGTTAGTGCACCATGTGTAGACTGCACTTGCTGTTATACAGTGAAGCTTAGATGTTTTATTTGGCCAGATTTAATCAGAAATACTAGCTTATGATTTTTATTTATATGGTTATAAGTTTATGAAGTTGTTTATAAATATGTATTAGTTAAAAATAAAATTCCTTAATTAGAAATGTTTTTAATAGGCATGTTAGAATCCATACTGGCGAGAAGCCATATAAGTGTGATGAATGTGGGAAGAGCTTTACTGTGAAGTCCACACTAGATTGCCACGTGAAGACTCACACGGGTGAGTAGGGCCCCTCAGCATGCAGATTCCTTGGGCTGTGTGTGAATGTTTTCTACACAAATGCTTCTAAATTGCAGAGAACTCAAAATTAGGAACTATGAAAAAATAGATTAAAAAGTTTTTTTTATTCCTGACGTAAGGAAAATAAAACTATTAAAGGGATGAAGGGATAAAACATCAAAAATCAAATTACGAGCTAACTGTCTTCTTACTTGGGCTTTCTGCTCTTCTTTCACAAGGTTCCCATAGAGATTCACTTTGCTGGGACTTGGCTAGTCTGCTGACAGTTACCAGGTTATAGTATCTTTTTATGTGAGGAGAATCTCATCAAGGGGAAAATGGTGTCTTGTTTCCTTGGCTTTTTTCTTTACCTGACTTGAGGATATGAAAATTGGTTGTTTTAAAAGCACAAATCTTTGCTCCTTGAAGTCTCCTGTTAGAAGAGTGATTCTCAGCCTGTGGGTTGTTGACCCCTTTGGGGGTCAAATGGCCCTTTCCCAGGGGCTGCCTAAGATCATTAGAAAACAGAGGTATTTACATTATAATTCATAACAGAAGCATCATTACAGTTGTGAAGTCTTAATGAAAAGAGTTAGGGGTCAGCACCATTTAAGGAACTATATTAAAGGGTTGCAGTGTTAGGAAGGTTGAGAACTGCTGAATTAGAAGGCCTCTTCCCTGAGCCATAGACATCTTGCATGTGACATGAGGCTAGTAGTTGCATAGTCCCCAACTCCATTGAGATTTTATTTGTATTAAGGCATAACTAGCCATTAGTGTGTTTGGCATGTTGAGACACAGGAACTCTTCAGTGAATGTCAGACATCATTACTGTGGGCCACTGGGGAGCATTGGTTATGAGTTTGAACAAGTAAGTACAAACAGAATTTCATATGCTTATGTTGATGTGAAGTTCTGTGATTCTTTCCTGATGGATTATTATTGACAGCTAAAGAGGGATAAACTCATTTATTAAGACTTTATCATATGCAGTTGTTTCATCAGGTTCCCAGTGTCTCTTATGTTTTGCTATGAACTTGCTGAGGGTGGAGAGGCTTACTTTGCTCAGCTCAGAAGACCCAGGTCCAGTAAACTATTCACATGCTAGGTGCCCAGTTGTTCCTCTAGATCAACATAGCTGTTCCAGGCTAAATGGGGTGGGAGTTCAGCTTAGGCTATGTAGGCAAGAAAAACTGTTTCCCCCTTTGGAATGACAAGGTGACTTTTGGAGACCCCAGAGCAATATAGGATCACAGACTTACTAATGCCACTTTGAGTCTGCTTGATTATCCCTGGTAAAGGGTGGCACTTACTTCCTGGGTTTCTGATCCTGAGCTCTTCTAGGGCAGTTGTTGTCAGTGGCATTTGTACCTTGGTGGCTTTTATTATGCAGATGATGATGAGAAGAACCCGAACAAGACACTGGACACAGGGCCTCTGGGCTCAAGATGGTATTCCTCACGCACACTCTTCCAAGTGAGCTGCTGTCTGTGATGGCATGTCTCTTTCCAGTAGACCCTGAAATCCTAAATGACCTCTGTACAGAAATAAAACTGACTCAGGGCTAAGTCTTCTAATGAAAGTAAATGAAATGTTTCAGTCAAGATTCTATGGAATGTAGTGATTTCAGAGTACAAAGTCTCAGAGGGTTGATTGTAGATTGTGGACAGGAAGATTTCTGCAGGTTCCTGTGTTGTCATAACATTTTTGGTTGAGAGCCTGAAGCACTTTGGTCCATGAACCCAGCATGGCATGTTCGTGCTGCCTACTAGAAGGTATCTGTGAGCTTAGGCTGATTCTTGCTGGTGTTCTTGTAGGCCAGAAGCTGTTCAGCTGTCATGTCTGCAGCAATGCCTTCTCCACAAAAGGAAGTCTGAAGGTGCACATGCGCCTGCACACAGGGGCAAAGCCTTTCAAGTGCCCTCACTGTGAGCTGCGCTTCCGTACTTCTGGGAGGAGGAAGACTCATATGCAGTTTCATTACAAATCAGATCCTAAGAAAGCCAGGAAGCCTGTGACCCGAAGCTCGTCAGAGAGTCTGCAACCTGTGAGCCTCCTCAACTCCCCTTCCAATGACCCCAATGTGTTCATCATGAACAACTCTGTTCTAACAGGGCAGTTTGATCAGAATATGCTTCAGCAAGGGCTGGTGGGTCAAGCTATCCTTCCTGCCTCTGTTTCAGGTAAGAAACCAACATATGTCCCCCTCATCTGTCCCCAAAGCAAGGCAGTCGTGCAAGCCTTTCCTTTATAAGGCAGTGTCCCTGTATCTGTCACTGTATCTGCTTTAAACACTTAAGTGCTTTGATCAGCTTTTGCTCCAGTGAGTCTCAGCACCCTTCCTCCTGCTTGGTGTTCTCCTAGATTAGTCCGTATCTGATTTTCACATCTCACCCCTTAAACTAGCGAAGTCGTCCATTGGCATTGGTCACACACTGCTTAAACAGCATCATGTTACAGCAGGTGGATTTATGTGCACTTACAAGTTAGTGCACAGTGCCTGCAGCTGTTTGACGTCCTGTGGTCTTTTCCTTCTCTGTCTTTCCATTTGGGATATGAAAGCCACTCAGTGGCTGCTGCAGTGTTTGCCAGTAGGACAGTCAGTCGACTCTCTTAGCCTGTTTTCTGGAGTCTGAAATGAGAAGATTATTCCCCAAGAGCTTTTTTGTCATAAGGCAGATGATATGTCTGTAGTATAAATATCTGTAGTCCTTAACTAGATATATTACCAAACATGTAAAACTTTTGTTTTTTAAAATCCTTATGGAAAAAGTGAGTTCTTTTATGTTTATGTTGTTAAGTCCTTTTGTTTCTTATTTTCTGTCCAGCTGGTGGGGACTTGACAGTGTCTCTGACTGATGGGAGTTTGGCCACTCTGGAAGGTATCCAATTACAACTGGCTGCTAATTTGGTTGGACCAAATGTTCAGATTTCTGGAATTGATACCTCCAGCATCAACAATATCACTCTGCAGGTACCATTGCATTCTTTTTTTTAAATCTATTTATTTATTATGTATACAGTATTCTGTCTGCATGTGTGCCTGCAGGCCAGAAGAGGGCACCAGACCTCATTACAGACGGTTGTGAGCCACCATGTGGTTGCTGGGAACTGAACTCAGGACCTTTGGAAGGGCAGGAAGTGCTCTTAACCACAGAGCATCTCTCCAGCCCCTGTTTTCTGTGCTTTAACTTTGTCTGAATCACATGCAGCACAAAATTCTCACTCGCATATACTTGTGTTGCTTTATAGATTGACCCGAGCATTCTGCAGCAAACACTACAGCAGGGCAGCCTGCTTGCTCAGCCAGTGACAGCAGAGCCTGGCCCTGGCTCACAGAACAGCTCTCTTCAGACGTCAGACAGCACTGTCCCAGCCAGTGTTGTCATCCAGCCCATCTCAGGCCTGTCCTTACAGCCCACCGTGACATCTGCCAATCTGACCATTGGCCCACTCTCTGAGCAGGACTCCGTGCTGACCACCAGCTGCAGCGGTAAGAGCCCACTGCTCTTTATTGTAGAAACTGGGATTTTGTTTTGTTTCTCATGATAACACAGTTGTTAGGTTGGTATGTTGTCATTTTTCATCTCTTTTAAAGCTCACCAAAGAAATAAAAACCCTAAAGTTTTCTTAGTTTCAGTGGTATTAGTTTCGTATTTGTCTATTTTATTGTTCATAGAATTATTTTTCTCAAACTGGTTTCTTGTTTTATCATTTCACTTAGCTCTTCTTTCTTCCTTGTGCCCTCTCTCTTTCTCCTCTTCTCTTGCTTTATGGTACTGGGGAATCCAACATAGGGCTTTGTGAATCTTAGAGCAAGTTTTATCTTATTAGATAAAATAATTAGAAGTGACTGATAACTTATTCTAAGTCTTTGAATTTTAAAAATAATCTTTAAGATGCTTTTCATAGAAACCAGGAGAAATATGTTTCATTAGAGCTCAGTGTTATTTGCTTTGTAATGATGAGCAGGGACACAGGACCTCACTCAAGTGATGACTTCACAAGGCCTTGTATCCACTTCGACGGGCCCCCACGAGATCACCCTGACCATCAACAACTCAAGTCTCAGCCAGGTTCTTGCCCAGGCTGCTGGCCCCACTGCCACATCATCCTCGGGCTCTCCACAGGAGATCACACTGACAATCTCTGGTTAGTAAGTTCACATTGTAGATGTCTTTTGGCTTACAGCTTAAGGCCATCTTGTTCGTGTCTCTCTGCAGCACTCAGACATAAAGACATCACATTTCATTGTGTGACAGCTTCAAGTCTAATGAAATCTAGTGTCAGAAACAAACATGTGTTTCTTACCCAACTTTCTATTTCTGTAGTGCTGATTGTGGAATTAATGTTTAGAGTTGGCCACTTTTGCCATATGTCTTTGCTTAGCAGACACCAGTGTGAGGAACTTTTTGACTGTTGCTCCTGTTCTATACACTAAAGAAACATCACTCATCTGAGCTGTGTACAAGAAACCGTAAAAACCTTCCATGGTCTCCTCTACTCTTGTATCTTTAGAACACTACTAAGATTATGTAGAAAGTTTTAAATATGTTAGAGCATCGAATTTGGTAATAAAGAGCACTTGGCATCACCAAATCACCCAAAACGTTATTCACTGGTCTGAGGTGTCCCTTGCTATCCCTCCCTGATCCTCAGAGTCACTCTCACAGTATGCTCTTGCCTGTGTAGTATGGGCTGGTATGCTTTGGCCACATGATTCCTTGCTCTGCAGTCTTCATTCCTTCATGTAAACTAAGTCTTTAAAAAAAAAAAAAAGGAAGCCAAGGTCTTGCCCAGGCCTGCCTTAAACTCATTGCATAGCCAAGAATGATGCTGAATCTCTGAATCTCCTTCCTTTGCCTCCTCAGTACTAGAAGTATAAGCATGTGTCACTGTGCCTGGTGTATTAGTTATTTCCATTGCTGTGATAAACGCCAGGACCAAGGCAGCTTCTACATGGAAGAGTTTATTTGGGTTTATGCTTCTGGATGCAGAGCTCATAATAGCAGGTGAGGCATGGTAGGTAGCAAGCAGCAGGATCAGAAAAAAAGTTGAGAAACCAGAAGAGAGTGAACTGGAAATAGGGTAAGGCTGTAAACTCAGAGCTTGCCCCCAGTGGCCTACTTCCTCCAGCAGAAGGTGCTCAGGCTTCCTAGGCAGCCCCACCAGTTGGGTAATAGGTGTTGGCTACAGGAGCCTGTGGAGGTGTTTCTCATCCAAGCCATCACATCCAGTGTCAAGGCTAGGGGTTAAGTCTGGCATTGTGCATAAGTACATGCTGGCAGGCAGCCGCATCCCTAGCCTATATGTTATTTTTGAATTAATAAATTTATAGCACTTGCTCTCATGTAACAGTGCATTTAAAGCTCATAACCACCTTACAGTTATACTGTAAGAACAGTTATAAAGTAAGAGCATTTTTACCAGAACTCCAAGTGGAAGTTTTGGTTATGAGCATTTAAAGCTCATAACCACCTTACGGTTATACTGTAAAAACAGTTATAAAGTAAGAACATTTTTACCAGAACTCCAAGTGGAAGTTTTGTTTTTCAGGAGGGTCTTACTTTCAGATGTATTTGTACTTTTGAATGACATGCTGTGACTTTTACCTGCTTCAGGACAACACATATTATTAACATTGGGTTTTGTATGGTTCACTAACTCTTCCTTTTTTTGGCGTGTTCTCAGTGTTGGATATCTGTTAGGTCTTATCAAAAACATCTGCAGAATTCTTACTTATAGCTTAGAAACTATGTTCTTCACTTTTGTATTTCCTGTTTTTCTATACTTGGCCATATTCTTATGCTATTGCTATGGGTATAATAAAAGGGTAGCCATATATAACATTAAGTATTTATTTATTTTACTTAAAGGGTTTGTTGAGTCAGACAATTTCTGGCTGGTTATTCGGGCAGAGTGTTGTGTGTCACTTGTTGAAAGCATTTGATGCCATATACAAGTTGTCACTTGGTTTGTGTGATACACAGGATGGTATGTGGTGTGAATGTAGTTTAAGTCATGTAGATTTATAAAAGTGTATAAGTCCTAACATTTGGAGACAAAAACTAAAATATTGTATAAAAAGGAAGGATGGTCCTTCTCTCCAAACTGGACTTGTCCATACCCAGCATTTGACCTCTGACTAGATGCTTGCAGCCAGTTGTTAATGGAAAGTGACGTCTAGTGAGACTCAGTAACGTGGCATGGATTGGAGCACTCTCCCTGAGCTCTTTAAACGACTGGCTGATAACAGCAATGCTTTCTTTTTATTTCTCCCATATTCGTGTTTATAATGCATGACTGCACTTGTCTGTCTGGAGTGCCCAGGGAGTAGGTCGTAGTTCAGAACTGCAGTACAGCGTCTTCATCCTCTGATGCTCTTTCCCTTAAGTCTTACCTCACTCACTCCTGATATTACAGCAGAGTTCCAAGGCATCTTGTCTTTTTCAAGTCTTCCAAAGCATTTGTGTGGTTTGCATGGAAGCTTCAGTAGATGTTTTTATTGTGTTGTGCATCATCTAGGTAAATAGCACGTGTCCCTTATAGGAACATGTCGCAGATGCTAATGCATGCTGGCAAGCAGTTGGATTACACTGGAGGGGAAGCTGTCAACACAGGATGTTCAGCATTGGCTAAGCCTGGAAGCTTGTTGTGTGGAAGTCGACCAAGGAAGGTTCTGTTAGTATTTGGTGATGTCCCTTATCCACATGTAAACATGTTTTAATCTGGTTGAACTACATTTGGAAGTGTTTTCAGTTCAGTGAAAGTGTTTTTCAAAAAGAAATGTGGTTTTAAGTTCCTAAATAAAGTAGAATTCTCAAGTAGTTTAAAAAGTATGGACAAATACTTCCATTGAGTAAAATATAGGTCATATATTTATTAATGTTACAAAATATTATTAAAAAGCAAAAGTTTACCATCTGGGGGTAGTGGCGCATGCCCTTAGTCCCGCACTTGGGAGGCAGAGGCAGGCGGATCTTTTGAGTTCCAGGACAGCCAAACAAATGAACATAATAAATATAACATAACAAACAGAAAAAACAAAACATAAACAAACAGAAAACCCCAAAAGCTTTGAGGATAGTACTGTATGTTGAGCACATTTATTAAAGAGTAAATTGGAACTTTATTTTGAGATCTATTTCTATGGGGGTTTAGACCTTACTAATCTCAGTTGGTTTGGGTATAGTGAACTAAGTGAAGGATAAGTCTGTCATTGGGACCTGTGACCAGTGGCCAGCCAGTCTGTAGATGATTCTTTATGCAACTCTGCTGTATTACATTAGTTAGGCACGCAGCCATGGATTCAGCTGTGGCAGACATCATTAAATATAGGTAAAGAGCTCACATTTAATAAATGAAGGAACTAGACTGCAGTCAGAGACAGCTCATTTGTTTCCTAACTGCTCAGACCTGAATAACTATATTAATTTTAATACTGTTTGGCCAATAGCTTAGGTATATTTATACCTATCACTTATATATTAAATTAATCCATTTGTTTATCTGTAGGCTATGGCCTACTGGTAAGGTTCTGGCAGCAGCATCTTTTTTCTTCGGCAACTACATGGCATCTCCTTGACTCTACTTACTGTCTCTCTCTATCTCTGTTCGGATTTCCTGCCTGGCTCAATTGTGCCCTGCCATAGGCTGAAACAGCTTTATTCATTAACCAATAAAAGGAACACATATACAGAAGGCCCTCCCACATCACAAGACTGTCTTTTAGGACTGGGCGTTGTGACCCGTGCCTGTTTTTCTAGTACTCTGGAGACATAGTGTCATGATGCACTATGCCAGAAAGAAGTAAACATGTTTCTTCTTTCCACAATTTCAGAATTTTTACAATAGCAGTAAATACGCAAGGTTTAGCTGTTTCAGTTACAACACTTTGTCATATAGTCCTGCCATAGATGAGTGGCGGGCCTTTCATTCCAGTCTTAATTTCTAATATTTTCATATCACAAAGCATACAGTAAATGTTTCTATATATGTGGTTTACAGAATGAATACAAGCTAATAAAGAGTCTGCAGAGTTCCAGCTCAAGAGGTTTCAGAAGTGGGCTGAGGAAAAATATTGATAAGATACCAAACCAGAGCAGTGCCAGGAGGGAGCTGCTAGGGTCGTGGTTTGAGAGTGAGGTTGTTCCACGTGTGAGGTAAAAGGCTGAATCAGGGTTTGAGAACAAATACAGTGGGTTCAGGTCCAGATCTGGACGGTTGAGCAGATGAACAGGCAGGCAGTTGAGTAAACCAACTTAAGCAATGGGGCCGTCTTAAGGTTACTGTTGCTGTGATGAATCCGTATGGCCAAATCACCTTGGGGAGGAAAGGTTTGTTCAGTTCACGTCACAGTTTGTTATCAGAGGAAGTCAGGACAGGAACTCAAACATGATAAGATCTTGGAGGCAGGAGCTGATGCAGAAGCCATCGAGGGGTGTTGCTTACTGCCTTGCTTCCCAGGGCTTGCTCAGCCTGTTTTCTTATAGGACACAGGACCACCAGCCCGGGGATGGCCTCACCCACAATGAACTGGGTCCTCCCCTGTCAATCACTAATTAAGAAAATGCTTTGCAGGCTTGTTTCTGATTGAAGAGTTTTTCTCAAATGATGACTCTAATTTGTGTCAAGTTGCTATAAAACTGCCCAGTGTAGGTACCATGCCAACCTGAAAGTCCCGGTGCAGTTGAGAAGTCCTCTCCTTATTGATCCTTGACATATGCACTAAGTATCAAATGGAGATTGCTGTGAGACCATGCCTTCATAGCATTAGATGTCCATGACTATGGGGTCCTGGGAGAGAGTTATACCCTTTCCTTGGTTTGTTGTGTGCCCCAAATTTGATTTTATTTATAGAGTAGCTCCCTGTCTACTCCCAGGAATAAGTCATGGATAGTCTGTGCTGGTCCCTTACAGTTGGCACAGTTTCTGGTCCACTCAGGGCTGCAGCCCTCCTCAAGGGGGAGTCAGAAGCTGCCTGTGATCTGGGTGCTGCTCAGCTGAGAACCACTGTTTTATACAGTGTGGCGTATCTTAGAACACACACAGCCTCATCTCAGCACTGAAGAGAGTCAGGAGTTCTAGGTCAGCAAGAGCTCTATGTCTTGACCCTGTTTCCAAAGGAGGGAGGTGAGTAAGGTGTCCTTCAAAGCACAGAGAATGCATTAGCTTCAGGTTTTGTCGTGTGTATAGTTCTGTGAGGACAGAAGTCTATCCTGCTTTTTAATTTTGTTCTGGGCCGTGACTTTCTCAGCCCTAGATGACAGACTAACAAAACTGAAGAAGGCTTTCTGAGGGTTTCTGTCTGTGTTGCATAAAGTTAGGCTCTGCCAGAAGTGGTGGATACACCTTTAGTCTCAGCACTTGGGAGGCAGAGGCAGGCAGATCTCTGAGTTCAAGGTCAGCCCGGACTACAGACAAGTTCCAGGACAGTCAGGACCACCAAGTGAAAACTTGTCTCGAAAAAGCCAACAAACAAATGGCTTGGGAGTTCATATGTACCTAGTTTTCTTACCTTAGAGAGATTTCCTTCATTTGTTAACTTCGTTTTCCACATCTATATATCAAATGAGGAGAAAGTAGTCTTGGTGTGTTTCTGTATGGAAAGATAGAGTCTTTGTTACAGTGTTCTCCTGCAGAGAAACAAGCCTGAGGAGTGTGTCAGGAAGCACTGGCTCAGTGGGTTCACAACCAAAGGCCTAGCTCTGAGAGCCGTGGGGCTTTGTCTTAGACATTTTCAGTCCGCTTTGCCTAAAGTGTAATATGATACTCACTGGGCATTTTATGGCTGTAGGGCTACACTAAGGGTAATACGAGCACAGCAGGGTTACTATGACACTGTGGAAACTACAGTAGTGTCATGTGGTTGCTAGGATATTGTAGTGACGTTTCATTTATTTTTAATAAATAAATAAAACTTGTCTAAAGATCAGAGAGTAAAACAGCCCCACTGTTCAGCCTTACAGACCAGTCAGCAGTCACACACCTTTAATCCCAGTAGCCACACTAGTTGCCATAGAAACTGGGCTGTAGTGATGCACGCCTTTAATATATAAGATGGGAGGAGACAGCTCACAAACACAGTCTCGGTCTGAGATACCTGGATGCAGCATCGCCATTTCAGACTGATGTCAAGGTAAGAGACAGTAGCTGGCTGTTTTGAACCCCGTATCTGTCTCTGGGTTTTTAATTAATCATGTTCAGGATACTGAGGACAGGGACGCAGTAGGTTGAGCATATGTGCACTGACTGATTAATTGGCTCCCCACCCCATTGTTTTAAGAGGCCCCTTACTACATCTTCTATATTCATTCAAAATACGTTATCTGCCAGTTGTTTATTTATCTACTGTGTGGCAAAATTGTATGAAATCTGCGAGTATTTGCCTGAACAGGGTAGTTATGGCTCACCCACATTCCAGGTGTTGAAGAATTCGTGTGTCTGTCATTATAGCGCATGACGGTACTGAGAGTATACCATATTGTAATCGTAATAAAGTCAAATAAGACTTTATTGAGTTGTGCCCTGGAGGAACAGCGGTTTCAGAAAAATAAGTCTAGCCCTTATTTAAGTACTAGACTCACTCGTACCTTCTTGAGGTTAACATGATAATGAAGAACTGTTTGTAACGCACCCCAGCCTTGTGTCTAGGGAAATCTCTGCTTTCCTGCTGTAGCTTTGTGTTCTTTTCAGTTCTACTGGGGTAGCTCTTGGCAGTGTCTGTCTCTGTGAAAAGTGACTTGTTGAGAATGCCGTGGAGGATTCTTCGTTTGTGTTGAGTATGAACTGTGGCATTACCTGAAGCTGTTCCCTGAACAAGTGGACTTTCATTTTTCTCTTTAGATTTCCTGTCCTGTTGGAACTTTCTGATGTGTGGGCATCACTAGGAAGTGAGGTGCATTTTACTTGTGGGTGGGAGAGGCCCTTTGGTTCTGTGACCTCAGCAGGCAGGTGAGGCTGAGTTCTGGGCCATCCAGTAGCAGTGAGTAGTGTCAGCTTCACTTTACACATTTTAAGAATGACTTGAGATGGGACTCTGAGAAACAGGCTTCTGTCCAGTTACCCTGTGACATTGCTTCTCGTAGTGTTAGTGCATGAGCCAGGACTTGTGGAGGTAGCACACGGAGCCCTGCTGGTGGTGGTCTGTAATTTAGCGCTGATGCGTGAGCCACCTCCACAGAACTGTACTTCTGTCTGGTGCATTAGCAATGTGCACGATGTGAGCAGGGGGGAGGGAGCCCCAGTGGCTGCTTCCGTGCGCACGCTCCTAGCCTCCTAATGGTTGTACTGCTTTTGAAGGTTCCAGGTCTGTGCAGCACATTATGGGACTCCACGAGTGTGGATCTATGGAGGCCTTGTATTTGGAGAACTCCACTTACAAGTAAGTAGCCTGGCTTTCCTGTTGGCCCCTGACTTTTAGGCGAGGCTCTTGTTTGTTGTCACACAGGTCACAGAGGTATTGGCAGGAGCCTTTTTTTTTTTTTAAATACCTTACAAGGTCATAGTTTTATGAACTCAGCTTCTTCAGTATTGCTTTAGGTCCTCAGTGCCTGGCACCATCCTGGTCCAGGATAATGAGTGAATGTTTGTGGGTTAAGGGTTCAGGGTTGTGAGAACAAAGCATGTAGACCTGGCTGTGCATGTGTGTTCAATGCTGATGCCCTTGCAGGACACAGATGATCCTGTTCTAGCCCATCTCAGTTGCCAGGAGGGCATAGGAGTGTGTTTCCAGAAGGAAAGGCTTGTCTGGTTTTGCTTATTCTGCTCTGGCTATCTTTCTTGTCTTAACATTGGCTGCTCAGTAAAACATTTGAAGGTTTTGTTGCATCAAAAGAAAATGAAGATGTCATGTTGAATATGTTACTATTATAAGAATTGTGTGAGATTTCTTTTGACAGCCTGCATTTCAGAATAAGTAGACCTTTAGGAGGGTGTGTGAGGAAATAGCAGAGTCAGGTTTGTCCACTAAACTCAGTATCTAGTTGTCTCACGGGTCCCACCTGGTTCTTTTCGTCAGTGGTCTGTGGTCTTAGAAATCCTTGCTGAGTTTTCTTTCTATGGTGTTAGCACTGACTAGGGCCAGAGGCCTATCTTCCCTCTTCAGTTTTTTTCTCTATCAGGCATGTCTAACTTGCAAAGGTGGCACTGGAGAACTTTAAATGCAGACCGATACAGAATTGTGAATTGACTTAAAACATGATTTTTACCCCCTTTTTGTAACTTGATTGCATGGTTCTCAAGCATGAACTTCGTAGATGATGCTGCTGTTTCGAAGAGTCAAAAGGTTGGACACACCTGCCAGATTGTGTGGGAGAAGTGGAGTACATGCTTAGACGTGCTTATATGTGCTTAGACACCAAAAAAGCCTGTCATCCGAGTGCATCAAAGGCGATCTATGATTTCTTGTTGTGGTACACAGTGGTGGTGCCCAAGGTTTCAGATTAGCTCTTTCAGACTCTCTTCCCAGGCCCTAGGAGAGTGTTTCCTCAACTTTCTACTGATTATTTATTTTACTTCTTTTTTAGAACTTAATCCTACAAGTGGGAGCCTTCCTTCAACAACACCGATGTCACCATCAGCCATTTCAACCCAGAACCTGGTTATGTCTTCATCAGGTGTGGGTGGTGATGCCAGTGTCACGCTGACTCTGGCTGATACTCAGGGCATGTTGTCTGGAGGTCTGGACACAGTTACACTGAATATCACCTCTCAGGTGAGTGTTCTACAGAGAAAACTTCTAGGACCCTTTGAGAAGCCTTCATGAATTTGTTCTTAATACATAGCTTTCTTACTGAGTAGTATACTAATTGTCAAGAGGTGAAATTATTCTTATAACATTCTTTCTTATAACATTGAGTAGAACTTAGATTGATTTGTATATACCTAATGATAATCAGTTGCTATCTTAACTTTTCTATTGCCATAACCAAGACAGCTCATAAAGCACTTTGAGGGCTTGCTTACAGTTTCAGAGGGTTAGTCTGTCATGGTTGGGAATTGTCAGCAGGCAGGCAGGCATGGCGCTAGAGCAGTAACCAAGAGCTTCCATCTTGATCCATATGCAGCAGACAGAGAGAGCATGGGACTGGCCTAAGCTTTTGAAACCTCAAATCACACCCCCCAGTGATATACTTTTTCCAGCAAGGTCACACCTCCTAATCCCTTCCTAAACAGTTCACCAACTGGGAAGCAAACCTTCAAATATATGAACTTGGCTATGGGGGCCTTTCTTATTCAAGAAAGTGGCCACCCATTGGTGTCCAGCCCTACTTAGCCCCTGTGCTAGTACCCCAGCCTTGTCACATGGCATCCCCGGTCAGGAGGAGAGAGATGAAAGCTGGCTTATCTAACTGTCTTGTTTTTATTCAGTCCAGTGGGATGTATTGCCCTCATTCAGGGTGGATCTTCCCTCTTAAGTACCTCAGGCTAGACATTTCCTCATAAACATGTTCAGAGGTTTGCTAGGTGACTCTAGATGCAGCTGACAATTAGCATTGCCCTGATCTCATCCACAGTCTCTGCAGCCATTGCTGTCTCTGCAGGTGTGTCTGTTCTGTGTATTCCATGTCTTCATACATCATGTGGAGTTTTGTGAATGGGTTTCCAGGGCTCACCTATGTCATATAGCATATAGTATCTACTTCATCCTTTTCATTGCCAAATATATTCCTTTGTGTGTGTGGGTCACAGTAGTACTTCCTTGCATGAGTACCCCTTAGTCCGTCTGCATATCCAGCAGTTGGTAAGAGTGGAGCAGTTCCATATTCAGGCTGCTGTGAACGAGCCCCTCTGCTGAGACGTCCTGCCAGCTGTCAGATAAACCTTAGTGTGATCTCTTTTACTGTTTGCTTTCCAAAGTGATTGTGCCATAAAAGGTCTTTATTTTAAGTACATTTTATTTATTTATAGTGTGTGTGTGTGTGTGTGTTTGGGCGTGTGTGTACCCCAGCATTCATCTGGAGGTCAGAAAACTTGTTATCTCCTTCCGCCATGTAGGTCTTGAGGATAAAACTTAGGCCGTTAGACTTGGCAGCTGATACTGTTACCCACTGAACCATATTGCCAACCTCTAATGATCTTTTTAAAAGTCTGTGTGGTTTGATAATGTGACAACTTCTAAAATGATAATAATCTTTTTACCAGGGCCAGCAATTCCCAGCATTGCTCACAGATCCCTCTCTCTCAGGCCAGAGTGGAGCAGGCTCACCACAAGTCATATTAGTGAGCCACACTCCACAGTCCTCCTCGGCTGCTGGTGAAGAAATAGCTTACCAGGTATGGTGCCTGCGTAACTCACTCAGTATCAGAAGGAACACTGAGAGGCCCATGTGGGATGCCCTTAGTCAGACCCAGAGCAGAGGTGCTGAGCACTGTGGGTCTCATGGCCAGGGCAGGTGACAACTCCCAGACCTGGGTCAGTGATAGGTGTGGCTTAACAGCAATGTCATATACTTGCAAATCAGTGTTTGCTACCTGTTTCCTGCTCGATCTTCTTGTGACTTTTTACTTATATTTATTAGTTCATTTTGTATATTTTCTTGAAGCACTTATTGGTCCTTTTATTTCTTCCTTTACATTTGATATGCATTTTACCTGCATATGTCTAGGTAAGACATTTTTCTTGTTTAATTGGTCTTTTTTTTTAAAGTGTATGTTTTAGGACCTATACTTGTAGTAATGATATTCTGAACATAGGAAAGTCTACAAACATTTTCTTTTTTTTTTTTTTTAAAGATTTATTTATTTATTATGTATACAACATTCTGCCTCGATGTATGCCGGCATGCCAGAGGAGGGCGCCAGATGTCAGTACAGATGGTTGTGAGCCACCATGTAGTTGCTGGGAATTGAACTCAGGACCTCTGGAAGAGCAGCCAGTGCTCTTAACCTCTGAGCCATCTCTGCAGCCCTACAAACATTTTCTAATACTTGGCTGAGCCTGAACCAGAATAAGTGATTGGTAATCTCTGGATTTGAGGGAGCTTTAACCTTTATATTCTTCAGAAGTGAGGCATAACTAGTTTACCAGTTTTTTAGCAGCACAAGGATTTTTTTTCAAGCAACACCAAGAAGTTTCCCAGTCTTGTCTTCAGAGACCAGAGCTTGTAGCTGTATCTTAGGGTGTGTAACTAATTCATTGTGTAGAAGGGTACAGAGAGAAGGCAGCAGAGACGGGTGTTGGGGGAGCTCGCATTCAGCACTCAGGCCTAGCTGTGCACCATAGTGGAGTGTCCCAGGAAGTCCGATAGTCCCTGTAGTGGTGCCAGGACAATACTGTCTAAGTCGTGGGTTGGGTAGTAGATATGGAGTACCTCTGTTGCTAACTTAGCTACCAGTTGCATCCACCCCAGGTTAACAAGATGGAGGGAAGTCCAGGTCCCCAGACTAACAGAACAAGGTATCCACCATCAATTTCAAGTTAGCGAACTGCCTGGCATGGTCCAGGATGTCGTTAGCAGAGTGCACTTACCTGGAAGGATGCCCCCAGGGCTTAGAAGTTATGTCTCAGGAGCCCTTTAGCACCCAGTCCTTGACTGTCCACCATGAACTTGATATTAGGGAAAGCAGTGACTCCTTGATCATGAGTTCAGCTTCCAGTCCATTTGTCTGGTCCCTTGAGTTTCTAAGCTCCTTATTCGGGGCCAGTCCCGCTACCCACTTCTTGTTTTATATGACTAGTAATCTGCCGTCCTGTAATTTGTTCCTTTCTTTAGCATCCAGTTTTTTTTTTTTTTAAGATTTATTTATTCACTATGTATACAGTGATTCTGTCTGCAAGAGGGCACCAGATCTTGCTTGTTACAGATGGTTGTGAGCCACCATGTGGTTGCTGGGAATTGAACTCAGTACCTCTGGAACAGCTCTTAACCTCTGAGCCATCTCTCCAGCTCCTAGCATCCAGTTTTATAGACCTCCAAAGCCACAGCGCATTCCTATATTAAAATTAGCTTGAGGTTTTTCTACTCCATTTGAGTAGTAGGTAGTAATGAAGTGAACTAAATAACAAAAACTTGATCTAGCTTGTGATTATGTTTTTCAGATTTCAAAATGTTAAATACAAAAGTGGGGAGGGGATGTTGATTCGCATAAGTGAGCAGTTAGTATGGGACGGTCTCATAGGCATTTGCCACCGTCAGTGTTGGAGCCTTAGCCTTATCCATGCTTTCAGGCCGCTAGGCCCTGAGTTCAGTCTGCCTGGCTCTGCTTCCCACCAAGCCTTTGGCAGGAGACTGAAAGTGGTGAGGAACTTGGTTTTTCCCTTGACCAATGTGTACCTACTGTGCCACCATATTCTAGCTGGAGAGCTCTGAGAAGCCCCACGCTGGCATGAACTCCGCTTTTCTCATCCGTAGATGGTAGTGGCAGTGTGAGGAGGTCCAGGTCCTAGCAGAGCACATGCTGAGCTGGTAAAACTGCTACACGGACTAACAGGTGGGGTCTTGCTCTTCCCTGGCCAAATCCAAATTGGAATGACATGATGAATGCTCTCCTGCGTCTGTGTGTCTCTAGCACATACCGCCTCCTTATAGGATCCTTTACAGGATCACGGTGCTGGCTTAAGACTGGCAGTTGAGGGTTGTCTGGTGGGATCCTACACTGCTGCCATTGGCATTTTTTCTTTCACTCATGTCACTTCCTGTGGAGGTAAAGCTTACTGCTGTGTCTGAGGCTGACTTTGCTCCAGGACACTTCTGTGTAATTCAGTGTAACTCCACTGTGTCTAACTGTCACCATAGCTGATGGGGAACTGAGATGTGGGGTAGCCTTGAATGATGAAAATATACTGATGAGAGCCAGAGCCGCCTAGGAGCCCAGGTTTTCCCAATAACAAGACACTACACTGTTTGAGTAGAACAGGTTTAGACATTTGTGTTGTTGGTTTTCCTGTTCGAGTCCACTGGCTCCAATGGAAACTTTAGAGAGAGGTTTGGCTATTGAAAGGAATAAATGAGGTAGGGCAGATATCAGCATCTTGTGAGTAAAATGTTTGTTCAGAGCAACATCTGCATTTCCAGTGCTGAGGGAGCAGGTGTCTGTTCTAGTCACAGGCTTTGTTGATTGCTATTTCTTTTCTTCCCTCCTTCCCTCCTTCCCTCCTTCCCTCCTTCCCTCTCTCCCTCCCTCCCTCCCTCCCTCCCTTTTTTCTTAAGACTCATTTTGTTTGTGAGTATTTTGCCTCCATCCATGTATCATGTGCTGGCAGTGTCTGCAAAGGCAAGAAAAGGGCATCAGACATTAGACCCTGGAGCTGTAATTGCAGGCCATTGTTAGCTACCATGTGGAGCTGGGGCTCAGCCTGGGTCCTTTAGCAAGAATATCAATTGCCAAGCAACTTTCCTGTCGTTTTTTTACCCCCATAGTCCTTTTTTTTTAAAGATTTATTTATTTATTTATTATGTATACAACATTCTACCTCCATGTTTGCCCACATGCCAGAGGAGGGCGCCAGATCTCATTACAGATGGTTGTGAGCCACCATGTGGTTGCTGGGAATTGAACTCACGACCTCTTGAAGAGCAGCTGGTGCTCTTAACCTCTGAGCCATGTCTCCAGCCCCCCCCCATAGTCTTTTATCTACTATTACAGAACAACATTGGTAATCATTTATTCCAGGGCTTTACAAACCTTTTTTATTCACATGTTCTGTGACTGCCTTAACATGTATTTGTGTATTTTTTTCACTGACACACACATATACACACATATACATATATACACACGCTCACTTTCTCTTTGATTTGAGTATTTTAAAATGAGAACTTTGCAGTATCTTTTGCTTTTTTCTGTTTTGTTCTTTTTAATTTTTTGTATCCACTCTTGAATATTCCAGTATTTAAAAAAAATATTCAGCAAACCAGGTAAAAATGTTGACAATCACATAATTTTTTTATGATTACTTCATTAGATTATTACTTATTTCTAAAGCTGAGGTCACCTGTTTCTGAGGGACACACAGTTAGCCTTCTGCTTTATTTGCTGTTCTTGGAAGTTCTGGTGGCATCCCATGAAATTGACTTGAAAACCAGCTCATTAGTTGCAATCCAGTTTAGTAAAATAACTTAGCTCAAACAACGCTAATGAGACACCATTGATTTAGTTTTAGTGCAGTATGTGGGGCTCCAAACCACAGCAGTTTTATACATTTGTATTGTGCATGTGTGTGTGCAGACATGGGGTGGAAAACAGAGACAATTTGGAGAAATTGGATTTCTCTTTCCAGCATGTGGGTGCAAGGTCATCAGACTTGGAGATAGGCATCTTTATCAGCCGAACCATCTAGCTACTCCAGACTGGGGCATTTTAAAGCAATGTCTGAACCTTTCATATATGCCTTATCTGGTCTTTACCAGCCCAGTGGTGGCTCTGTGGTCCCTCATTCTTGTTCCACTGTGGTTAAGCCTGCAGCTTATGTGGCCAGGAGAGGAGTTTGGTAGCTGGTCTAATCTGGTAGGTATATCCCCATGCTCCCTCATTGGCCAGGAACTTAAGTGATCCCAAGGCAACTGTATTTTCTGGCCTTATAGAATTTCTAAGTTTTTCCTGGAATAAGCTGGCCAGCTGTGTTCATATTAGGCAAGACAGCAATTTTCTTTCCTACCTGGCAGTTGCAGACCACACTTTTCTAGTAACCTAGAACTCCTAACTCTCTCCAGGTGACTGATGTCTCTGCCCAGCTGACCCCTACCAGCCAGCCTGAAAAGGAGGGCCCTTTACACCAGTGCCTGGACTGTGAGCGTGCCTTCTCATCAGCCGCGGTGCTCATGCACCACAGCAAGGAGGTGCACGGGAAGGAGCGCATCCATGGCTGCCGGGTCTGCAGGAAGGCCTTCAAGCGTGCCACACACCTAAAGGTACACTCTGGGGACAGCGGGCAGCCCACATTTATGGGGATCCACAATATTTCTCACGAAAGTAAATGCTGAGTGATACATCTCTCTTACTGTTCTAGAAACGGGGATGTGAATGTGGCACCAGGTTGTAGGAGGATAGGCCTTTGTTGAGTGCCTGTGAGTAGATTACACATTCGTGTACAAGTCAGCATCAGTTCTAATGTAAATTAAAGTCACACCATCCTCTCATGTCTCACTCATCAGACTGACAGAAGTATGAAAGCTGCTGGCATGTTTGAGGCCATGGGAAAACTGACTTACGGTTGTTGGCTCTGCAGTGTGTCACAGCGTACCTTGAGGAACACAGGGTGACTAACAGAACTCTATGTTTACCTGCAGCCTTGCAGGGACCCCGTTGGCTACACAGGATGGCACATAGGGTTCCTCACCTTGTAGGCCACTGTAGCAAGGTGGTAGATAAAGGATGGGCATCCCCAGGGAGGGCCTTACATATATGTAGGAAGGATGCAGAACTCTGGGAGGTAATTTCAGGGTAGGGTCCCATCCTGTCCACTTAGTGAGGAGACAAAGTCTCATTTATATAGCCTTGGCTAACCTGGAGCTCTCTATGTAGACCAGGCTGGCTTCGAACTCTTGGAGATCCACCTGTGTCTGCCTCTCTCAAGTGCTGGAATTAAAGGTGTGTGCCATCATACCCAACCTTCCCTTCTTCCTTTAAAGGGAACCCTGTGGAGCAGGGTAGGGGAAGGAGAGTGGCAGACACTAGCAAATCCGCAGTGGAGAGCCTGACAGGTGCTGCCCGAGAAGGTGGCCACAGTTGGCAGCACCTCACACAGCTGTGCGTTCCTGGAGAGGCTCCAGCAGCAGGTGGCCTGAAACTGCTTCCCTGAGCTCAAGCTCATTGTCCTCTGCTGCTCTCTTCTCACCCGCCTTACCATGGGGAGCTGGCTCACTGTAGATGTGTTCTCTGGCCTTCACTCTGTAGGCCTGGGGTATGCTTCCTTCCTTTTATCTAAGTCAGAGCTGCACTAACCAGTGTTTACAATCCTCTCCCATGACTACAGACCAAGTAGGATGCCTTGATATGAGGAGAGGAGAGGAACCAGATTAGAGAGGGTAGATACACACTTAAAAGCTCTAATCTGCTTTTTTGAGGGTCACTGGCAGGGTTTACTCTGAGAGGTCCCTGTGGTGAGATGAAGTCTCCTCTCAGCCCACACTTGGCCAGTCCTTCATGGTCATCTCCAGGAGGGATCTCTTCTCTGTCCATGTTCTTGTGCATTGAGGCTGAGATATGAGCTGCCCCCAGCCCATTTACCTAACACGAGGGTTCACACACCACTTACATCTGCTTCCCAGACCTCGCCCTCCTGGGGACTGCTCGTCCTCACCCCATTCTCATCTCCTCCTGCTGATGCCCTCAAACCTCTGTGCTTTACCACGGAAGCTCCAGGAGAGCATGTGGACCATATCTGAGGCTGTAAAAGAAGTTATCGAGAGACAGCAACCGCATGTCTTTACTCCCAGCACTCAGGAGGCAGAGGCAGGTGGCTCTCTGTGAGTTTGAGACCAGCCTGTTCTACAGAGCTAGTGCCAGAACAGGCTTCAAAACTACAGAGAAACCCTGTCTCGAAAAACTACAAAAAAAAAAAAAAAAAAAGAGGAGAGACAGAGACAGAGACAGTAGCCATTCCCAGACAGGGCACAGGGGGTGCTGGTTAGCCCTCTCTTTGTCCCACTAAACAAGTCACCCTTGGCTTAGGGTCGATTTTATTTTCTGATGGCTTGGAAGAATTGATCATTTGATGGTAGTAATTGAGAACTCTGTATAGGGAGGGTTAGGAGTGGCCAGTGAGAGCACTGCTGCTGTCCTTCCCTGACTGTTCCTTATACATACCTCCCAAGGGCCGTCCCCCACCCCGCCTCCAGTCTGTTCTGTCCACCTGTCTGTCCGCTACACACTCCAGCACATATGCAGGAGCTCCCAGCAGAAAGCAGGCATGCCAGCTTCTGTGGTAACATCAGCGCCACACTTGACTGGCCATCCTGCAAGTGTAGCAGACTCTCCCTGCTGTAATGAGAGAGCGCGGTTGTCCCTGCTTCAAATAGCAGCTCTGTTACTGTGTGCACCACTGAGGCTGTGGCCGCTGCCCTCTGGAAATGGGTTATAGAGTTACAGCGTGGTCCTTCCCAAATAGTGGATTATCTGCTCTCCTGGATCCCTCTGCCTCCTGAGTATCAAGTGCCTGGGGTTTGTAAAAGAAACAGTTGCAGAAATAGATGACTTCATCCTCTGAAGACATGGTATTCACACAGCTGTACACAAAGTGTGCCTCTAATGAACGAGGGAAGTATCAGCTCCAGGTGTTGAGAGTAGGCACAACAAGTGGCAAAGTTACTGCTGGAGTCTTATGCTCTGCAGCCTGTCCTAAACTCTTCCTGACCTTAGCATCTCATTTTCTGTTTGTCCTGTGACCCACCTCAGGCTGTCTGGGTGGAGTAGTGTTCGTCGTGAACCTGTGGTGCAGGTGCAGTGTTCTTCTCTCTGAATCCTGCTTTAGGGCACAGGGCACTTTAAAGACTCTTCCCTCCCTCTAGCAGGGTAATTGTGCACTTTATAAAACTTTGAAAGTAGCCTCATTGCCAGCCTCGGGCACAGAGCACAGTGGCTGTCTTATTTCTGAGAAAGTCAGATCACACAGATCTAAAGTCACTGCCTGGTGAGTCACACCCATACCAAGTACAGTTATCTGACACTGTCAGAGATGTGGGATCACCGCATAGTGTCGTTATGTAATTGGTAGAGTACCCAGAGCCACAGGTGTTCTGTGAGCGTTGCTGAGAGACTTGTAGGCTAAACCTCTGTCAGCTGCCTGTGGGCCTTGACTTGCAGGTGAACTTATGGAATGTGGGAACAGAGAGGTTCAGCAGGTTCTTCACTGGAGTGCCCTGTGTGAAGGTCACAGTCTCCCTGAGTGGTCACTGCAACCTGAGGAGGGAGATATTGTCCCTTGTGTGGACTTGGAGCTGCCAAGGCCATGGCTCCTCACCCCCATGCTGCTGCGATAGGCTCCAGGTCCTGAAATCCCAGTCAGAGGTCACCGTGGGGAGGCTATTGGGTTTGCATGAAGATTCCTTTCTGTTGTTTCAGATCTCTCAGGTTCCAGTAGGGCCTAACATGTGCTGGTTTCTGTGTGTTCTGCCAGGAGCACATGCTGACACACCAGGCTGGTCCTTCGCTCAGCTCTCAGAAGCCCAGGGTATTCAAATGTGACACCTGCGAGAAGGCGTTTGCCAAACCAAGCCAGCTGGAGCGGCATAGCCGCATTCACACAGGTAGAGCCACGGGATGTGCTGTTGTTGGCTGAAGAGTCCTGGGTGAGCAGGGGTGAAGCATAGATACCTGTGGGGTGTGAGACATTCTTTACAAAAAGGTCCGCGTGTTCTACTTTGCCCTAAGTTTCAATCACCTTTCCACCTTAACTTTTTCACTTGAGATTGGCGTTCTCACTGTGACCTTGGGGAGTAGGCGTGATTCCAGGGCACGGCCCCTTCCCTCCATTGGTTAGGAAGATGGAGGGCTCCTCTCCAGCCCTCTAGGCTGATTGCTTTGATCTCTCTGCTCCCTGCTGACTCTGCACTCTGCTGTATCCACTGTCTACATCTGCTTGAGCCTCTTCAGAGAAAGACCAGTCCAGAAACAAGCTCTCCTGGCCTGGATGTTTGTAATTTCCATGCTGAGGAGGCAGACTGGATAACACTGTGGCTCACTGTCCAGCCAGCCCAGCCTCCGGTCTAGTTCCAGACTTACTGAGACTCGTTCTCAAAAAGCAATAAAGAAGCTGGACATGGTGGAGCACACCTTTAATCCAGTACTGGTAGGCAGAGGCAGGCAGATCTGTCTAAGTTCGAGACCAGCCTGGTCTACATAGTAAGTTCCAAGCCAACAGGATTACTCTGTCCTAAAAAACAATCAGGAAAACAAAATTGACAGCTCCTGAGGAATGACCCTGGAGTTGTCCTGACACCCCACCCCACCCCAAGCTTGTGTACCCGGCCACATACAGACACACAGATATATACACATAATTGATAAAGTGCTTCCATTTGATCATGGGTTTGATTTTTTTTTCTTTTTCAAGACAGGGTTTTTCTGTGTAATAGTCCTGACTATCCTGGAACTCACTCTGTAGACCAGGCTGGCTTTGAACTCAAAACCCAGAGATTCTCCTCTTTCTGCCTCCTGAGTGCTAGGATTAAGGGCAAATACCACCACTGCCCAGTTAAAATTATGTTCTTGTTTCTGAGTTTTTCCTCTGTAGTGAGGCACTGTGCTAATAGTACTGTATCCTCTATAGCTATGGGTGGTGAATTGAACTTTAAACTACATTTTAAAGATTTTTTTTTTTTTTTTTTTGGCCAGGAAAACATTGAACTTGATGGTGGCTGCCTCATGCCCTCTGGCTCTAGTATGCTTTGATGGCACATAATTATGTCACATTGTCATTGTGGGTAGACTTACTGGCTTGACTGAGAGGGACTTGAGCCCTTAGCACACATGTCGTGAGAAGGATGTCATTGTGGAGTAGAGCCAGTGAGATGGCTTTTCAGTTTTGGGGTTCACTTAGAAGACTGAGATAAAGCCTCATTTGTTGTGCATGGTCACAAGGGAGAAGAAACAGGACCAGCTCAGAATACAGTCAGGGCAGTCATGGATCCCTAGTGTTCAGGGACAGTCTGGGAGGCCTTCTGGGGAAGGGTCCTGATACTGCAGCAAGAGGCTGCTACACAGAGCAGGTGGGAGGAACTTGTAGGCAAAGGGGAGCGGCCATACCCTACCCCTAGGCCTCCAAAATGGGGGATTGTTCCCAGGAAGCAGGACCACCATGCTTGTGATGGGAGGCACTGAGGTCTGGTGGGCATTCATTTGCGCAGCTCCCAGCGGATGTCGTGCTTGGCAGCTCCCTCAGCTTCTACGTTCACCTGAAGGCCACCCAGTCGTAGCATTTTATAGATTATAGAAAAGCATACTTTAAATAGTGTTGATATTCTAATGTTCAGATGTCTTTCTCTTGGATCACATAAAATGTATTAGAACATTTTGTTTAATCATGTGTTCTGTCTCTGGGTGTTTCTATGATTTGGGTACTCACTGAATAGGTTTCGTTTTGTCTCAACATGGAGTGTCTTTGTCAGCATCCTGCTAATCAGCTCTCTGGTGGTGGTCGCGGGAGGGATGTCACTGAGTCTTTCTCAGCATGAAACAGTCTGGACTGAGGGACAGCATATGCTATGCTAAAATGCGCAGTCCCGAGAACGACACTGACTGCAGCTCGCCCTTTGCGCACAGGGGAGCGGCCGTTCCACTGCACTCTCTGTGAGAAGGCCTTCAACCAGAAGAGCGCGCTGCAGGTGCACATGAAGAAGCACACTGGCGAGCGGCCCTACCGGTGTGACTACTGTGTCATGGGCTTCACACAGAAGAGCAACATGAAACTGCACATGAAGCGGGCGCACAGCTTTGTGGGTAAGAAGGCTAAGTCACTGGGTGTTTCCCATGTTACTTTCACACATTTTACAGTGGCCATGCACCATAGCTACTGCAAGGACTGCAGTTTATAGAAGAGGCCCTGAGCAAGGAGCTGGGAAGAGGCTGAGCAGAGTGGGAAGCCTGTGCTATGTCTGCTTCCCATCCCCTTGCCCTCCCTTCCTCTTTTCTTCTTTGTTATTCCTTCTCTTTCTCCTTGCGTCTCTTCTTTCTCCTGAAACAGAGCTCAGCTCTTCAGTCTTTCTCCTTAGCCTCCTGAGTACTAGGATTTCGGTCTCTTGCCACCACACCCATCTTCAGACAGTGTTTTCTAAAGGGAAGTGACCAGCGTGACTGTCTGTTTTTGTATCTCCCTTTCTGGAATGTGCAGGTCAGAGGCCGCGTTAGTGTCAGGAGGCAGCATCAGCCTGGAGTCTACACAGAAGTGGATAGGGCCTGCACACTCTGTTTTGAGCACCACTGCCTCCATTCTGTCTCCTTAGTCCAGGCCACACAAGCCATGCCTTGTCTGTGGTTTGCAAGTGTTGATGCCGTGGGAACTGGGCTCTAGGGCGAGGACAGCTGCCTGTCCTGCTTGAGGTCCAGACCATAGTAGCATGGCAGGAGCACTTTTATCTAACAGACTAAATCATTAAGTTCCTGGAAAGCAGCAATATGAAATATTAAAGACTAGGGTGGACAGTGAGTTTTACAACTTGTATTTAAAGTTCATTTAGTTGTAGGATGATAGGTTTTGTTAGTGAGCATAGATGACCTTCATGTGGTCACTGGGGTTGTGTAGACACCTCTGGGGCACCCAAGAGGTAGAACTAGATAGTGTGTGGAGGGAAGGTCACTGTTGCCAGCAATTTCTGTGTGTTGTTAAAGAAGTTGTCTGTGTTGTGAGTGTTATTAGTTGCTTGTCACTGATTCTGTATTGTCATAGCCCCCAGGGTATGAGTGCCCACATCGCAGAGGCTGTAGCCCCCAGGGTGTGAGCACCCACATCGCAGAGGCTGTGACTAACAAATATCACCTAGAGTTCCGCACTTTTATATGCATGAGGCCTAGGGTTCCAACCCCTGAATTACAAGTTGAAAAATGGTTTCCCTGGCCCAGACTATTTCATTTCACTGAGCTGGGAAGCAAAACAAGCTAGAAATTTCCTTCCTCTGGTTCCCATATACTCTTGTCTAACTGTGCATGCTAGCCTGCTTCTGAGATCTGAGGCTAACTTTTTCTTTGTTTCTGTAGGAACCTTGCAGGCAACTGCTGTGGTCCAGGAACAGGATGGGGAAGAGCTAAGGACCCTTCACTTAGAGGAAGTGGTGCAGGAGGCAGCGGGCGAGTGGCAGACCCTAACCAATGTGTTCTGATGCTATGGAAGAAGGCTGAGCGCATCCATGAAGTTACATTTGTGAAGATTAGATCACTCAAGAGTTTCTGTTTTAAAACTTCAAGTGTTAGAAATCTACAATAGTTTTTTTTTTAAGCTAAATTATTTGAAGAATCATTGCCATTCAAAGACTGACAGGAAAAACCTGGGAAATGTACATCTGCACTGTTTTCATTTGTCTACAGACCACAGAACCTGGGCACTGCCATGGTCACTTTCACCTTCTCATGGCTGTGTATGTCCTTAGCAGGTGACCTGGATCTGAATATCCTTGCAGTGAGATTTGTGTTAGCAAAAGACAGTATGGAAAATCACACGTATGATATTGCATGAAATTCAAAAGCGGTGCCATTACACACGGATGTTTTTCCACTTTTTACTCTGCGTTTTGCTAATTAGTAACCGCCAGCTCTTTTTAGCCCACTCTTACGTTAATGTAACTGATGCCTTGAGAGATGGCTGGACCCGTTCTCTCTCCGTCACAGACACCTAACCCCTAGTTAGAAGAACACAGGATCTGGCAATAGCAGGGCCACGGAGAAAATGTGACCTGCAGGCGAGGACCAGCTGTTCACATGGATGTCCACACGCTTGCTGCATGAGTCTGTCCAGTCACATGTATTTGATCACTGCAGAAGCACAAGCCATACCCTGTGAGCAGGAAATGACAGAGTTCTCTCTTAGGAGACAGGAAGCTGTTCCTCTCCACCTCAGTATATTTATCTGTATTTTAAGGCTAAGGACTTATAAAAATCCTGCGACTTCCCTCCTCATGCATACCGGAGGTGTGTTTTCATTTCAGGGAATCCTCCAGTGTCATCAGCAGTGCCACACAAGACACATCCCAAACCAAACCCTCCTGCGCTGGCTGAGCAGTGCGCCTCAGCATTCCAAAGACAGTAGGTCCCTCACCTCATATCAACTCCCTGGAAACTATTTATATGTTCTATATGTGAATACCTGTGTACATAGACAGATATATGGGCCTCCATGTGGCTAAGAAGTCTATTTTGTAAATAGAAGCACTAGTCCACGTCGCAGAGCGCATCGGAGGCCACTCCCTGGTGCACTTCAGACCGGTGTCGTGTTTATTCTGTTAATAAATGGATATCTCCTTCATTGTAACATAAAGCTGGGCTCTATTTTTTTTTCCTGAAAAAAAAAAGTTGCCTTTATTTTCTCTCATTGCCTCATTGGTTTCCGAAGAGAGCAGTTTTATTATAAATATTATGTGGACTTGTTCACTAAGAGTCCTGGAGAAAGACATTTCACTGTTATTTTAAAAGGGCATCTTTTGATTTTGTTCATTTTGTCATCTGTATATAAGTAATATTGACAGTGACATAAAAACTTTTGTTATGTGAAAATATTTAAGTCAGAGAACTGTTAAATATTATTACTTTTTTTCCAAACTGATTTGTGTATTGTATATTTTTTTAAGAAGAAAAAAGCCTTACTTGACTTCTTGTGATACTGGACTTAAAGCCCCAAGGCTCCCTGAATGTCAGTGTGTACACCGGCTGAGGTCGTGTTTCCAGAGTAATTGTAATCGCGAGAGTTCTAAAGTCTCTGCTACTAATGCACTTTTTCTTTCATTTTTTATTAAAGTATTTTAGAAATATTAATTTTAGTGAACAGATATCCCCCAAATTGAAATTATTGGATTTAAAATGTTTTGTTCTTGCTGGGTTATTTATTTTCCTTTCAGCATTAAATGTCATCTCAGGACGTCTGTACAGAGGTCGGCTACTTCCTGGTTGTGTGGTGAATGCAGGCGCTGACTGTGGCTGTCAGTTGTTGTATAAGTGAGACTTCAGTGGGTGAATCTGCAGCCTGCTTTTGTTTGGGTTAAAGAAAAGAAAATCTACCAGGAATCAATTATTTTTTGTATTTTCTCAGTTTACCAGCAAACAAACATGGCATGTATGTGTTTTGATTTCCTTCCTTACCGTCAACGCTGCTTCTTTGCCAACATTCCTTGAAAATACAAGGTTTTGAGAAGATAACTCACTTGAATATTTTGGTTTACAGGTTGATCTCTGTATTTTAATGTTTGGAATATTGTTATAGGAAAGTGATTCCTCATGTATAACCAGGGTTTGGAGGATAGAGAACTGTATTTTTAGAACTCTCTCTATATAACATATCTGTTTTGAGATAACTAAATGCAAAAAGACATTAGGAAATGTGATGTATGTGTTTTGTTTTGTTTTTAAATCATGTTTCAGAATCACTAGGTGGGTGGGGAATAAATTTCAGGTAATTTTTAGCAGAAAAGAAAACTGTAATGAGTTTTCTTTTACCTGTGTGAAGTCCAGAGAATGCATTTCCTCTTGGTGTCTCCCTAAAGCACGTTGAGCTAACAGTCGGATATGGCCCTTAACAGAAGGTCCTGTGCCTGGCGCAGTCCTGCGGGTGCCGCTTGCTCCTTCAGTACAGGAGCCCGTTGGTCCCTGAAGGCATGATGCTGCTAATCACGAGTACAGCTGAGGAGGTCAAGGGACCAGGAGAACCCGGCATGGACAGATCCTTCAGAAGGTCATAGGTCAAAGTGGACACGCCATGTGAGCAGAAATGCTTCTCACCCCCAGAAAGCCCTCCTGGGTTCCTTGACAGTGCTCTGGGGCAGCAGGGAGGTGAAGCAGCGTGCACCAGAAAACGTGTGTTTGTATGCTCTCCACACCGCTTTTAAAGTTCCTCTGGATTCTCATGAGCACATCCGTGTCGGCTAGATTTTAGAGGATAGATTTGGTTCTTCCTGTGCGCCCTGTCTTTGGAGAGACACTAAGCCTCACGTTCCAACCTAAATGGCACCACACAGATGTATGTAAGGAGCGTTGGATAAGGAAGTGCGTATCTGTAGGCCTATTCCCTACAGAATATCTCATCTGTTGGGCTATCTCATGACTCCTTTCATAAGGGCTTCCTCCACAGCCTATTTCAAAACTCCATACTTTGCTCTTTCACCAGCCCCACACTTTGAGTGACCCCAGGGCCTGGTGCTGCTGTCTCATGAACCTTATCCACGGTGACATTGGTCCACAGTCCATTTCTTTTCTGCCCGTGATTTATATTCATGTGATGTGGACAGCGTGGATGTAAATTAGGGGAAAGTCTCAAGTGAGCTATGGTTGCAAACACTTGTCATCTCTACACTTGCGAAATGGAGACAAGAAGATCAAAGTCAGTCTCTATTACATAGCGAGTTCCAGGTCAGCCTGGGCTGCTTGAGACCCTGTCTCACAAAACAAAACCAGAAGCCAAGAGAAGTAAAATTTCAAAATAGCTACCCACAATCGCCCAGTTTAGTGTCGCATATTCTGTTTGTTTTGTGTTTTACTTTATCCCAGTGAAACAACTTGAAATCTGGTTGCTTGCTGTCTAAACACGGGCTCTTTGCCCTCTTTGCTAACTAAAAATTAGAGCTATGAAGTCCACGGGAGCTGGATGCCTGCACCACACACCCTGGCAGTGTGATGGCTGCCCACGTCCCAGGCCCCCTATGGTCAGCGAACATGTGTTCCATTTCACACCCTACTGCCCAGGCGCTGTGCTCATAGTTTGTATGGACTACATGGTATAGATTGGTTAGTGTGTCAGGGGCTACAAACAGTAATCAAAAAAATCATGCTATTTAATCTTTTCTATGTGTGATGCTTACGGCATGAAGACTTTTGTACTGAGAATCAAGATCTGTATATTTGACAAGCTCTAAAACGCCATAGTGATTGTTCTTCAGCACCACTAAGAAAATTGAAAGTTAATTTTTTAATTTACAGAAAAGTTCTCTTTTTATCTTCAGATTTGTCTCATGGTCTATTTATACATTGGATGATATTTATTTAATCCAGTTTTGTATTAGAAATGGATAGCTATGCCAAAAGCCACTGTGCTGGCTTTTAAAAACAATAAAACAATAGTTTTTGTATTATTTTAAAACTCCTGTGTATTTACTTCTTGTAGCCTGGGGTGAGTGGTAACCACATGCCCAGTGTGTTCTAGGGGCACGAAGCTGACCAGACTTCCTTCTGGGGCACACTGTTCCCCTGTCATGTAAACACGTGTTGAAACATGACGTAGGCAGAATGGAAGCTATTGAGAGCTGCTGTGTGAGGGACTGGCCCAGAGTGCTGACTACTAGCCCTTTAGTGCACATGGCGGCCTTTTCCCCTCACTCTTCCCGGCTGCGTAGAGCCTATATAGTTCTTACTCCTGCTTAAGTAACAAGTTAAGAATGCCTGTTTGGGGCCCAGCAAACATGGCTTGGGTCAGCCGAAGGGACAGATGCAGGATGGGGAGGAGAGGTTCTGAGCAGCATCATGCTATTTCTCGGCGGAAGGTTTAGCCCCGCGTGCTGTAGGCTTGTGATAGAGCTCCTACCTCGGAGTGCAGCTGCTTGAAGTGCCTTTCCGCGTGGAAGGTGACCTCAGGGCTGCTTGTCTTAAGGCCTCCCGTGGAGTGGTACAAAAGCTTTCTGGGTTTAGGTGCTAGGGCTCGTCCTGTCCAGCCCTGGCTGTGTTTCTGCCCTTGAATAAAAAAGCCTGGAGGTTTTCCAGGCCTCCGCTGCTGCTCCATGGCTACCAGTCCAGGGAGGAAAAGTGTTGCTTGCCCTGGCTCTGAGCCACCTTCTCCAGGGTGGGTGGGTTGGGCCTCGGAAGGTAGAGACAGTGAAAGGCTGGTTTCCAAGCTGTGAGAACAAAGCCAGGGATCGAGTTGGGCTCCATGGCCAGGTTTCTCTGTGGGCAGCTTCCCTGGCTCACTCTTGCCCTCTGGGAATTGTAGTAGTGGTGTTGATGCTCTGACTGTCTCCTATCTCAGTCCTAGGAGGTCTCCTGGCTTTCTTGGGCTGGGAAGTAGCTGTAGCTGCTGTGAGGATATTGTCTGAATGGAGGCAGACAGCACTGGCTCCGCCCACAGTGAAGCTTTCCACAAATGTACCAAGTATCAAATGTCTGCTAGGGAAGGCTCCAGCATGCAGTGCGTGGCAAGGTCCTTCTGCTGTCAGACACACTGCCCCATGTCATTCTGGACTGATCAAGAGAGGGCTTCTTGCTAATTCATTCAGTCTTTCGACCCTAGGCCACACAGCTCTATAGAGGGGTGTGAGAGATTTTACACTCAACTCTAGTCCCAAGCGTGCAGTGGCCAGCCGTTTCTATACAGTCTTTGTTTTTGAAACTGCTTCAGAAACAGCAGGTCAAAGACTCTCCACACAGAGATCTTGTCCGTGAGTGGCTTCCCATCCTTGGATTCCATCAACCACAGAAGAAAATGGATTTAAGCGTGGCACCTGGACTGAAGCTGTAGGCCGTGCTCACCTGTTCCCTGAACGCTGCTGCACTGTGGCAACCATGCATGCAGCACTCCCGTGTGTGGTGTAGCAGGTAACCCGGAGGTGAGTGTGGGCACACCAGAGGGCGTGTGATTGTTATATGCAAAGGTTCTGTTCTCCATAACTGGAGTGTTCTCAGATCTGGCTACATACGGGTGGTGTCTAGGGCTACAGACAGCAGTTCCCTGACAGGTCTGGCTGAGGACAGTGTCCTCTCCCACACCCACTTGTCCCCTGTTGGTGTGGCTTGAGCTCCTCCCTGCTGTGTTTCATTTAGGTGACCGTAGCTGGCTCCTTTAGTGAGATGTTCAAACAACCCCAGATGTTGCCACTAGAAGCTCTGCTCTCTCTAGTGGTTTTTCATTCTTTGAGCACTTTTCTCTGGCACAATCAGTTGTTCCTCCCCAGCCCTGGGCTCAGCCACTGCTCCTAGAAGACAGGCGTTTAGGAACAAGGACTGACTGGTTTGCTTATTAATGTCCATAAGGCCTGCAGAGATGGGGGAGATTGGTGTGTGTGTGTGTGTGTGTGTGTGTGTGTGTGCGCGCGCGCGTGCACGCATGCACTCATGCATCTACCTTCCTCTTGTCCACACCTTCCCATTTATCATTTCAATGTAACTATGCACCATCCAGGACCCCAATTCTAGCTAGCACCCCACAGCTCCCTTAACCCCTGCACTTTCCATATCTGCTTCCTCTCTGTCGAAGCATCTGGCCAACCTGCCATCTGCAGTCCCTCTAGCTGTCCCCAAACACCAGCCTGGGTCATCACGCTGGTCCAAGCCCTCTTCCTACAGCCATATCTGGAAAAGGTAGGAAAGGGTTACCTTTTTAATAACCATACTTGCCAATGAACCTTCAGGGTCCCACTGCTTTGTACGTGGCCTTTGTTGCTTGTCACACCTTTGGTGAGTTACAGTTGAAAGTGTCTCCAATGCTGGTGGCAGGAGCATTGGCCAAAATGAAAGCAAACTTGTGCCAGGAAAGAGCTTGTGAGAAAACAAGTGACAATAGTGTCAGCCGTGCTCCTGCCCCCATTGGCATTTGACATCAGAAAGTAAAAGGAAGGACCCAGCGCTGAACAGCTCTGATGGGAGCTCCATGGAGCTGTGAAAGTTCTGCAGATACTTTAGGTCCTGAACCGAGTTCCAGAGGTTTGTACGATAGACAGCTCATTGTAGGCAAAGCTATCAGTCTCAGTGTGGTTATTTGGGAGCAGCTGCCAGGACACAGAGAAACTTCATCTGCAGTTGGCAATGGTGGAGAGTCCAGTGGAGAAGGACTAGGAGGGGAGCGGACCTCCCTGCCTCACGGGGACCTAACAGCACACAAAGCCTTCTGAGCTCTCTTCGGTTGTATAAACTGCCCCGTGCTTGCCCTGGAGGAAACTCTACAGCTGAGAAGCCATGTACCCTTGACTGCACACACTGTTGGGTCCGTCCTACCTTACTGTCACTTCATTTAGCATCCCGGTGTCCATTCAGTGTCTACAATAGAGAAAGTCCTGACAGCAAGATGAGGATCTTGGAGTTTAATTATTGTATCTGGCCATGTGTGGGGTTGAGGAGAATAAGAAATACTTGTGTTAAAAAAAAAAAAAAAACAAACAGAAACCCGTGCACCCTTTATGGCTATCATATGTCATCCTCATCCATTCCTTAAAGCATTGACTCTCACTGTTGCTGTATTCATGAGACGGGGAAGAGGGAGCCTGGATTGGGCAGGTGTTAACCATTCAAATAATTATTAGTATCAGTCATGAGTTCTTAAATTTGTAAACCAAGACTGCTTGTTGGTTTCCAGCTGCCCAGACCTGAATAATCATGCAGAAACTATATTAATTACAACACTGGCTGATGGCTCAGGCATATTTCTAGCTAGCTCTTACATCCTAAATTAACCCATTTCTATTATTTTATATTTTACCACGAGGCTGGTGATTTACCAGTAAGATTCTAGCATCCTCCTCCTTTGGCAGCTACATGGCATCTGTCTGATTCTGCCTGTTTGTATTTCCCACCTTGTTGGAAGCTGCAGACCCTCAGACCTGAACTCTCTATGACCTCTTGCCTGCTGGAGTAAACAACTTGTTTTTCTATGCTTACATTGCTCTGAGCACGGAACCCTCATGAGTTCCTGATAACAAGGAAGTGGTTTCTGGTGGGCTTGCAGTGGAAAATCCCCAGAACTAGAGCTTGGCCATTAGTCAAGGAGAACACTATATAAGCTCTCCGGGAACACAATAAAATTGGCATTCTTGCTTCAAGAGTGACCCACATCTCTGTGTGTTCTTTAATCCTCAGACGCTTGCCCAACCATAGTTCCAGGTGGTGCAGGCACCACAGGTGGAGGCCCTGTTGGGATGGGGAACTAGAGACACTTCTGAGGGGCACCCTCCAGAAGACTGGCCAGCAGGTAAGTAACAAAGAGAAGGTGAGAGGGTGAATTGTAAGGATGGGTGCCGGTACTACTGAAAAAGCAGGGTACCGGGTTTAAAAGAAAAACAGTAGAAGAATTTGTGGAAACCCAAGGTAGGGTTAGTCCATGGTTTCTACAGGCTGGCACCTTGAACATCCCTGACTGGGAACATGTTAAGAAAGACCTACAAAAGGAACTGAGGGAAAAAGGACCAGAGTCCTTTCGCATTGCCATGTTTTCCCTATAGAGGCTGGTTAAAGAGTCTATGCTTGCTGAAAATTGTAGCGTCAAGCAACTTTTTAAGGAAAACATTAGGATACTGGAGGATGTCCAAGACAAAGAATCCCTGGCGTCATACAAAGGAGATCCAGAGGGAGAAGAGCTGAAGGAGCCTGGGGAGGCTCAGAGCTCAGATAGTAGTGATTCTGAGTCATCTCTCAGGACTGGGTCTGTTCTCTTGCCTTGCCCCAGGAGAAAGACAAAGCAGCTGACCCTCTGGCTAGTGAGAGAGAGGTAGAGGAGTTGGGGAGACAATTGGCAGAACTTAAGCCCAGAAATATCCAGGTGTTCCCTGTTATTGAAACTGTGGATCCTCAGGGGATAGACAGAGGCTACATCTGCAGTTTCAGTTTAAGGATGTAAGACAGCTTAAAGAGGCCATAACTGCTTGTGGGCCGCATGCTCCCTTTACTGCTGCCTTGGTGGAATCCTACATGGATCAAAATTTGACTCCTAGTGATTGGATGCAGCTTTGTAGGGCAGTACTTAGTGGAGGGGATTATTTGATTTGGATATCTGATTAGCAAGAAAATTGTATGGAGATGGCCAGAAGGAACACTGCTGCAGGGCACCTGAATAGAAGTGTGGACATGCTCACCGGCACTGGACTGGACACTGCTTAATCAGCAAGTCATGTATGACCCTGGGGTGTATGCTCAGATTGCCACCGCTGCCTTAAGAGCTTGGAAAGCCTTGCCTAACAAGGTGCTGCAGGGGCCGTCTGAGAGCCTTATTCAGATTCTGTGACTCTGCTCTCACAGTTAGCAGGAGGATTTTTCCCTGATGTTGAGGCCACCATGCCATCATCAAACAACTAGCTTATGAGAATGCCAACAAGTACTGTCAGGAGCTTATTCATCCCCACTGGCAACGAGGAGGGCTGAATGATTACATCAG